CATTTATGCAAATAGAGAAACATCCNCTTTTATGCAAATAGACAAACACCTCATATATGCAAATAGGGTAACACCTCTTTTATGCAATTAGCAAAACACCCTTTTTATGCAAATAGGGTAACACCCCTTTTATGCAATTAGCCAAACATCCCATTTATGCAAATAGACAAACACCTCATATATGCAAATAAGGTAACATCCTTTTTATGCAAATAGGGTAACACCCCTTTTATGCAATTAGCCAAACATCCCATTTATGCAAATAGACACACATCCCATTTATGCAAATAGAGAAACATCCCATTTATGCAAATAGACACACACCATATATATGCAAATATGCAAATAAGGTAACATCCTTTTTATGCAAATAGGGTAACACCCCATTTATGCAAATAGACACACACCATATATATGCAAATAGGGTAACACCTCTTTTATGCAATTAGCCAAACATCCCATTTATGCAAATAGAGAAACATCCCTTTTATGCAAATAGACAAACACCTCATATATGCAAATAGGGTAACACCTCTTTTATGCAATTAGCCAAACATCCCATTTATGCAAATAGACAAACACCTCATATATGCAAATAAGGTAACATCCTTTTTATGCAAATAGGGTAACACCTCTTTTATGCAATTAGCCAAACATCCCATTTATGCAAATAGACAAACATCCCATTTATGCAAATAGACAAACATCCCATTTATGCAAATAGAGAAACATCCCTTTTAAGCAAATAGACAAACACCTCATATATGCAAATAGACACACACCTCATCTATGCAAATAAGGTAACATCCTTTTTATGCAAATAGGGTAACACCCTTTTATGCAATTAGCCAAACATCCCATTTATGCAAATAGACAAACATCCCATTTATGCAAATAGAGAAACATCCCTTTTATGCAAATAGACAAACACCTCATATATGCAAATAGGGTAACACCTCTTTTATGCAATTAGCCAAACATCCCATTTATGCAAATAGACAAACACCTCATATATGCAAATAGGGTAACACCTCTTTTATAAAATTAGCCAAACATCCCATTTATGCAAATAGACAAACACCTCATATATGCAATTAGGAAAACAACCCTTTTATGCAATTAGCTAAACATCCCATTTATGCAAATAGACAAACACCCCATTTATGCAATTAGTGGAATGTTTCTCTAATTGCATAAATGGGATGTTTGTCTATTTGCATAAAAGGGGTGTTAACCTATTTGCATAAATTAGGTGTTTTGCTAATTGCATATATGAGGTGTGTGTCTTAATTTATGTAATTAGCAAAACACCTAATTTATGCAAGTAGGATATGCAATTAGCCAAACATCCCATTTATGCAAATAGACAAACACCTCATATATGCAATTAGGAAAACAACCCTTTTATGCAATTAGCCAAACATCCCATTTATGCAAATAGACAAAGATCCCATTTATGCAAATAGACACACACTCCTTTTATGCAAATAGACAAACACCCCATTTATGCAAATAGACAAACACCTCTTTTATGCAATTAGCAAAACACCTAATTTATGCAAATAGGATAACAATATAGGAAATAGGATTTGCATAAATTAGGTGTTATGCTCATTGCATATATGAGGTGTGTGTCTTAATTTATGCAATTAGCGAAACACCCTTTTTATGCAAATAGACAAAACACCCTATTTATTCAATTAGCAAAACACCCCAAATAGACAAACACCTCATATATGCAAATAGAGAAACATCCCTTTTATGCAATTAGCAAAACATCCCATTTATGCAAATAGACAAACACCCTATTTATGCAATTAGCAAAACAACCTATTTATGCAATTAGCGAAACACCCTATTTATGCAATTAGCAAAACACTCCTTTTATGCAAATAGACAAACACCCCATTTATGCAAATAGACAAACACCCCTTTTATGCAATTAGCGAAACACCCTATTTATGCAATTAGCAAAACACTCCTTTTATGCAAATAGACAAACACCCCATTTATGCAAATAGACAAACACCTCATATATGCAATTAGAGAAACATCCCATTTATGCAAATAGACAAACACCCCATTTATGCAATTAGAGAAACACCCTATTTATGCAATTAGAGAAACATCCCATTTATGCAAATAGACAAACACCCCATTTATGCAAATAGACAAACACCTCATATATGCAATTAGAGAAACATCCCATTTGTGCAAATAGACAAACACCCCTTTTATGCAATTAGCGAAACACCCTATTTATGCAATTAGCAAAACACTCCTTTTATGCAAATAGACAAACACCCCATTTATGCAAATAGACAAACACCTCATATATGCAATTAGAGAAACATCCCATTTATGCAAATAGACAAACACCCCATTTATGCAATTAGAGAAACACCCTATTTATGCAATTAGAGAAACATCCCATTTATGCAAATAGACAAACACCCCATTTATGCAAATAGACAAACACCTCATATATGCAATTAGAGAAACATCCCATTTATGCAAATAGACAAACACCCCTTTTATGCAATTAGCGAAACACCCTATTTATGCAATTAGCAAAACACTCCTTTTATGCAAATAGACAAACACCCCATTTATGCAAATAGACAAACACCTCATATATGCAATTAGCAAAACACTCCTTTTATGCAATTAGCAAAACACTCCTTCTATGCAAATAGACAAACACCCCATTTATGCAATTAGCAAAACACTCCTTCTATGCAAATAGACAAACACCCCATTTATGCAAATAGACAAACATCCCTTTTATGCAATTAGGAAAACATAAAAGACTTGCACTTTGTCCTTTTCATCTCAGGTGGCTGACTTCTGTAAAGTCTGAAAGGGGGTAGGAGAGGGGGTGGGAAGGGCTGGGAAGTATGCAGATCGTGCAGCAAAGTGGAAGACCCCTCATTAATCTTATAACTGATAGACCCCCTCTCACATCAAATGAACACTGAAAAATAATTTATTAAGTTCTGTGGATAATATAACATTTGATAACAAATTTAACAAAGAAACAACAAATAAATTATAGTTTTATTACAATTCTTTGCCATGGGACAAAGATATTTCATGCACATCTGTGGACCATTCAAAACAGTCTTAATCCGATTGAAACACTTCCTCAGATATTTATGCATACAGAGGTCAATTCAAAACATCTATACATGGCATAATTCTTCAGGGGTAGTTGTCTTTCTTACATAGATTTGACTTTTCATCCAACCAGTAAAACAGAAACTGTTTAGAAACAAAATGATCCAAGACGTGCTTTATCTTTGTCAGACTATGAACTAATTGTGGATGACATGAACTTTATGGTAAATGGAACTGGCCAATTGTGGGTCTGTATAGACTGGGTAGGGTGTCTGATGTGTGGTACAATGTGTGGTGCTGGATTATTGATACAGTAGAAAATAGAAGCATATCGTTTCAGAACTTCTATCTTCTACCGTATCTATAACACTAGACACTGTTTCTAGTCTATTAACACCATTAGAGTTTTAGATTGTGTAGTATGAAATTCAATTCTCTACTGGAAGATCAAGTCTATTGACTACCAGTGCTATTACTACAGAAGCTATGACGAGACATGAAGGCCGAGTCTACAGATTGCCTGGTTGTTTTATCCATTATTGTCATCCACCAATCTCCAGTCGCTTGGTCTTGGCTCACCTACAACAATTTTTTTAATCAAATACTAAGTGGTTAGGTGTTAGGGGGTGAAGCCGACACTGAGCTGACTCTTGGAAGCATTGGCACAGGCATCAAAATTTTCTTACCATGAGGATTCGAACCCACAGCACCTCATCACCCAGAGGACAACAATCCAGCTTGCTATCAACTGAAATATTTCATGTTAGGGTCAACTTACGTTGATTTTTTTGTTAGAGTGAATAGGGACTGAAAGATTTTTCTATGTCAGAGAAGCAGGACCGAGGTCTAGGGCAAGAGGCCCTGTTTGCTACAGGCTGTAAATTGTTTTTAAGATCCTCAACAACAAAATCTGAAAAGAGTTACTATGCATCTGTTCCAGAAAAATTTCTCTCATTTCACACTATATGGGGTGGCCAAGATAAACTTCAAGAGTAGTTTTCAATACTTACAAATGAATACCATGATTTTTAGGAGTAATATTATATAAGTTACGACAGATGGGAGTGTTTCTAGGCGGTAGTGGTGGTTTCTTAAATATACAAAAACAGAAATCAGTCCACAAATTGCCAATATCCCACGGCTATGTCGAAATTAGAATACAAACTTGATCAAGAAGGAACTAAACTGATATGTAAACACCATTCAGTCTGCAATGAGGGAAATTTAACTAAGACCTACTCCTAACCTATTATAATCCTTTGAGGAACCACACAGGAGTGGAGCGTAACTAGATAGTGAAATAATCAACAATACTTACATCATCACAATCCTGAAAGCTAGGATTATTAAAGCTGATCTCAGGCACCAGTTCCTCTACCTCCTCACAACGTTTACCCAGGTTGGGGTTCCGGTATTTTATCATGCTCACTAAACTAACATCCTTGCTAAAATAAAATTCAACATTATGATTATCTCTGATTTAGTTTTTACTACTATTCTGACTCAGATTTTACTAATGAATATAGACAACGCAGTGTTTATTGCAAGATAGCCTCTTCCGACATAAATTAACTCATAAAGGTGGGAAACGTTGGAAAAATCCAAAGAGACTAAAAGAACTTACTTTCTGGATCGTAGATAGTAAACTAAACCACTAACAAAAACAACAATTAGAACCAATCCTAGAATGAGACCAATTATCCATAGATTGCTGTCCCCATCATCTTCAGTATGAGCTGGATCATCAAGAGGTTGAGGACTGGTGGATGAAGATGATGTTGCTGATTCACATTGATTGCCTGTATATTCTGGTGGACAACTGAAACAATAGAATTACTGTTAGATCACAGTGGCACATGTATTTCTGAGAATCGACATGGCTAATATCGTTTAATTGGGGCATTCATTAAAACATTAATGACCACAATGGCTTTAAAATTAAATTTTTTAGCACAAAATAGCGATGTGTCTGTATTTTATTGAGGAAACAACCCCTGGTTCTAGACACCGAGAAACCTCTGCAGCTCCAGACGTTCTTGTACAATGTAAATAAAAATAAATACAGAACTAACACCTACCTGCATTGCATAACCTCTCTAACCATCTGACAGAAACCACCATTTTGACACGTCAAACTACATTTCTTAGTTTGATTGGACGCCATGTTATAAATCTTAGTTTCAACTTTATCATGTGAATGTAGTTTAAATGTTGCTTTGTTTTTCTTTGACTTCTCTGTCAAACCCTTTTCTGGAAGTTCATGTTGACCCGATTCTGACAAGATAGGTAAGTGATGAAGGATAGTTTTGGATGGCTGTTTTAAAGATGGTGGGAGAACAAACAGCTTCCCTTCAAGATCTTAAACATAAGATGAAATAGAGATGTAATGTGGTAGATTTCTACTCCTCATAGAGTTAATGGAATAGGGTTTATTGTTCTACTTATATTCTTCTGATTCAAGACAGACAATATCTTTTAGTCTGCTAGGAGGGACATTGAGTGATCTTCGTTGTACAGCCTGAATCACACAAATCTTTATTATATCATCTAAGCAACTAGATGCTTATTTACATCCTCCTCTTTCCTTTCGGAAATAATTTTGGATCCAGTTCCTGCTCTATACCAACATTGCAATAACGCACACTATCATTGGAGGAAAATATTAAAAAAACTTTACCGTAACAGTTTCCGTCTGTAATGTTGAGAGTAAAAACATCAGGACAGAGACAGCGAGCTTCATTAGGAATATTAACACATAAATATTGACATGACTTAGTTTTACACAGAGATAATCCTATAATTACATCATTAACTTTTAATATAACTATACAATAATAGAGACATACATAAACTCCTACAGGTGCTGGCACACAAGAAGTCTAGATCAAAGGTCCATTTAGGGGCATACATACATTGATAAACTCCTAAAATAATACAGTGAAGGGAAAAGCAGTGTATGTTTACCCTTTTAAAACACATGATACCACTCTACTCTACTACCAGGTTTAACATGTAGTGAATTATAGTCTATGCTATAATAATTCTCTAAAGGTACAAATGAAATGAATAGAGTTTTACATCCTACTTTTCTACACCATGAAGACAGTCTAAAGGTACAGCGAGCTCAAGAACAAAGTTGGAGCTACAAATCAGACTGGATATAATTGTAGGGGCAAGAAAAACCCCATAATTTTAGAAATGAGCTCTTCCAATCATATATATATACAGTATCATGACAGAAAGTATGCAAATTAGGAAGAGTTCAATAGAATGTTGAGGGGTGTCAAATAAATGACTGATGCAGTATTAGTATTAAACTCCTAAAGAACATGCTACAATACCTTTAATCTGTTTAAGAGGGTGAACAATCTTCAAACCAGTGGGGTTAGTAATTCTACTCATAATATTGGTCTCTCCATAATATAGACCAACACGACTAATACCACCTAAATCTGATACATAACCAACGTTCTCAAATACATCTAGACTCTTCGGCTTCTTAAACAACGTCTGACGTACAATTCGTCTACAAATACATTAAAATATTCCTTTGAAACTTCCAATCTATGTGTCCAGAATTATCCCTGTTTGAAAGTTAAAATGACGTCTCATCTTTTCTTGATGCTCTACCATGCATAGAAGATGAACATGATATTTTTCAGTTGAGGTATATTTTAAGGGATTATGCTATTTTCGCACAGTTTGGTAGTTTTGAAGACTATTTACATATATAAAACCCAAATCAACCTAACTTCAGATAATCTTACAGAGAAATTCTTACCACAAACTCTTTTGAACAAGGAATCTGAATTTCATACTTACAAATGATCACTGTTAAGGTCATATGATTTCATCCAACCAAAGAAGTCGTCAATCCAGTAGAGGATGTTTTTAACGTAATCTATAACCAGGTTGACAGGACTATATACTCCAGAATCAACTAGGATCTGTGGAAAACTTCCATCTAGATAACTCATCAATAACATATCTTCTTCCTTATCTACCCAATACAATAGTCTGAAATAATCAATCAATAATCAATCAGAATCAATCAAATTAATCTATAAAAACAAATAATCAATACAGAGAGTCCACATAGCTTATAATATTTATTTGATACCTAAGATAGAGAGTACTGGTATTTAGGTTTGTCAACTTACCATCTCTTCAGAGAGTCCACATAACTAATAATATTCATTTGGTATTTTGTCAACTCGGCATCACTTTTGGAGAGTTCACAGAGCTAAAGTTTATGTGGTATTTGGGTTTAACAACTCGGCAGCCCTTTCAAGAAACAACCTAGCTAATAATTTATTTGTTTTATTTATTTTTAAATATAAGTGATACAAACCCATTCAAAGGATGAACAGCAATAGACATGGGAGTCCAATCTGGTCTTGAGACGAGGGTCGTACATAACGCTGAGTCAACTTGACAACATCCTATAGAACCAGTAGTATTGGTATAGCTTGTATAGTAAACCATCCTAGTGATCCAGTCTACAGCTAGACTACAGATATGTCCAGTCTTTTCTAACACTATATGAGACTGTTTACCAGTTACTGTATGAATTGTGGCTGTATTCGTTGTTTCCTGAAATAGATACAGACATCAATACTAATGGTCTTCAGACAGATAGTTTTCTAGAAAGTCTCTAACAATAAGCCATAATGTTTCCAACTTTTTCTTTCGAGGGATCTGATTGGCTATATTTTCATTCAGTCTGGCCCTTCATTAAACAACAACCTTCAGTAAGAGACCAATTTTAATTATTTCCTTGACCAATTTCTTAATACAAGTTTGACTGTAGGTTTACTTACATTGTAGGTTGACCAGACAATAGTTCCAGTATCCATTATAATATCAACTTCTAGTACTGGTGTGTTAGAGTCTACTATACTAGTTTGTCCAGTCTGTCCGTTAGTTGATATTCTATGTATACCTTTATAATTAGCTACCAGTAAATATGGACGTACTCCTGGCAGTAGACAATTTGAAAAAAATAATGGAATTTCAACAAACCTATGGACAGAGTGAAATGAATTGATTTTCCTAGTACAGCATGGGCTAATGGAGACAGGCAACACCATGCAGTGTGCAATGAGGGAAAACATTGAAATATTACCAGCACAGTTGCATACATTAGTCTGATCTTTAATTAGGTATCATTTGAATTATGCTGCGATGGCACTTTGGCCAAGAAAGCAGACCATGCAGTAAGCAATGAGGGAAATTTTGTCAGGAGAGCTGCATTAGCTTACCTTTAGCAAGACAAGTTGTGCCATCTTCAGCCAGTTCATAATCTTGAAAACAGGAACAGTTATACTGGTCTCCTAGACTCTCACACTGATGAGAACAGTTTCCATTCATAGTAGCACACTCACTACCAGCTGTAAGATTGCAGAATATAAAGAAATAGAATGATTCTGTCCAGGAAACAAACCTCCAGGCCACGCAGCAAACTAAATAGTTTTTATATACAATATACATAATGTGTCAGTAATTACCAGAAACCTGTATTGAGTGTTACACAATTAAGCAGCAAAGACAGGTATGGTGACAGACAGGGTATGCTTACTATTCTAGACACCTGATACCATGAAATGTTTACTCAAGTATAATTGATATACTTCCTCATATGTTCACATCCTTAATCTTTTATTTATTTATTTATACACAATGTTATCAGTTGAAGAAATCAAAAATCAACAAAACTTACTGCATTCTACTTCATCTGATTTATCAGCACAATCCTGTATTCCATCACAATTCTTATCTTCTGCTATACACCAACCATCATCACATTGAAAATGACCAGGAGGACATTTATCTGTACAGTTCCTCTCATCAGCACCGTTAGGACAATCTTCAAAATGGTCACATACTACAGACTTCACCTCACAGAGATACTCCGAACAACGGAACTGTCGCTTGGTACAAATCTGAGGAACTACAAACGAATTGGTATATCAACAATCTACTAGGTATTATTTTGGATAGTTATAAAGCCAGTCGACCCAGCTGTAAAATGGGTATGCCTAATCCGGGAAAGATCAATGCCGAGAAGTTTGGCCAAGGACCAGCTGGTGGAAAGGATTCTCGCAAACCTAATTTGTTATCCTTGTGAAATAAATGCCAAGGGTTTTGACCTAGGATTAGCTAGTAGACAGGATTCTTATGAAACTATTTTATCTTCCTTGTAAAATAGGTTGTTTCTTCCCTTCAACAACAATGAACGAATACTTACTACAGTTTTGAGTTTGTTCGTCTGTTCCATTGATACAATCTACTGTACCATCACACATCCATCTTGTAGGAATACATTTACCATCCGAACAACGAAAATGACCCGTTTTACACTTGGCTGAAATTGATATAATAATTTCTTTAGTTCAACTGTCAAATACCATATAACTATAAGTGTAATATGCACCCCTTCTTTCTGGGGTTAATCTCAAAAACTTAACATAAGATAATGACCATGAAAAATAGTTTATCTGAACCATAATAGCAATAATAAAATTTTTAAAGCACCAAAAAGCTGTCCAATGCTAAAAATTTTCACAGTAAAAGGTATCAAAGATCATTTCAATATTCTTCAGAGAATTATTAAAAAGACAGTCCCCTATAAAAACGTTGACTTACAAGGACAATTAAGTTCGTCTATTTTGTTTGGACAGTCGATGTTGTCATCACAGATCTGCTGGGGGTCCATACAAGTTGAATTTACTCGACATTTTATCTGACCTGGTTTACAACTATAATCATCTTCTATAATAAAACACAAGAATTCAGAAAGACCTTTCCCATGCTTTTTCCTGACTGAACTATTAGGGACAAGCAATCCTATGCAGTGTGCAATAAGGAAAATTTTGCCAGGACCTTAGCATTAGCCAAATCTTTTTTGATTTCCAACTGTCAAGGGATCTTTAACATACACAGACTGTAGTACAGAGGGCCTTGGTTTATTGTCCCATCAGAACAACTAGACGCTTTTTCCATGTCAACCTCTTGGAATTTAGAAATGAACTCTGTTGATAGTACGGTAGTGGAAATGAAATGATCAAAATAACTCATGACGAGCCAAAATCATAAATCATTGTGTTCAGAATACAAGAAATTCCATAATCCATAAAATTAAAAAAAAACCAAACTTACCAACACAGGTCAGCAAGTCATCATCTAGTATGAGATTATCTGGACATAGACAAGTTTTACTATTCTTGTGTTTAGCTAAACAAACATGGCTACATCCTCCATTATCAACTTGGTTACAACCATTCACAACTTAAACAGACAGATCAAATATTTCTTGATAAAAAAAACTTGATAATTCACTTAAATTGTTATAAATTTGTTCAATTTAAACTGAGAATTCGACTAGGATTATATACCTACACACCCAGTTTTACCCACCCACACTTTCATATCCCTTATACCTCACCCCTACCCTACATTATCCCTCCTTCAATACCCCACCCTCACCTCAACCCTACCTGGTATTGTTTGGTGTATTAGTGTTAACTCTGTTCTACCCTCCATTCTACTGTGTAATATAGAGTATTGTTTTGAAGTAAGGTTAAGAGATTGTATAGTATCTGTTCTCCAGTCAGTCCAATACATCATCTGATTCATTACAGCCAGTGACAGAGGCTCTTCAGTTGATCTACAATATCAAACAAATTAGACTTTTACACCCTACTATTGAGAGATGATGATGACCATACAGTGTGCAATGAGAGAAATTTTAGACTTGGAAATGAAATGAATGGAGTTTTACATCATACTTTTCTGCACCATGTAGGTGGACAACATGCAGTGTGCAATGAGGGAAATTTTTCTATGAAAGTGGTGTTAATGCACCCTTTTTCAAGTATCTTAAACTTATATACATGCTTTTTCCACAACAATCCCTCTGACCTGCATCACTGTTTGAAGGACATCAGGTTGAAAAATCAGAGATCAAACCCAACCAGAAATTGTTGAAATTAAAAAATGCTGCTTACACAGTATGTGTCATTTTATTTTCACCATTTAAAGTCACAGAACAGATTTCTCCCAGCTTGGCGTCTGTCCAGAATAACCGTCCTGTGATTGAGTCTATAGTCAGGTAGTTTGGTTTACCCAGACCGTGACGTACAAGATGATAGCAGTGTGCTGCGTCCATATCACAGACGTCTATCCTCGCTTCCACCATGCCCCAATCACATATAAACATTGTTCTAAAATAAAATAAAATGGAGTTTTATATCTTAATTTTAAAGCCTGCTTGGCCTAATAAAAAATTAACGAAACTATTCTGTACAGGATACTGAAGACGGGAAAAACCTTGCAGTGTGCAATGAGTTAATTTTTTCATGGACTGTGTTTTAGTCTCTTTTCTAAATTCCACCTGTTCAGGAAATCTATAGTGCATGGCTAGTAGCTTATTGGAAAAATTTGAATGCACATTGGACAATGAAGTCTTGGCAACACCACAGTGTGCAATAAGGGAAATTTTATCACAACAGCATGTTATTAGTATACTCTCTCAACAATGTACAAGGAAAATGAAATGCACCCTAATTCAATGAAGATGGACGGTGCTATGCAGCGTGCAAAGAGGGAAATTTTGCCAGGTTGACACACCTACTCTTTTCACGAGGAAGATGAAGACTCACCCATCTTGAAGATTAAGAGCCAGGGCTCGAGGTTCATCAAGATCAGCTGGTGTCAACAGAACAGATCGTATTTCTTTATCAATATGTGATACTTCCAATGTTTTCTGAAAATAATGAATTTAATATTAAATAGTTTTAGCTATGTGGACTCTCTGAAGTGGATGTTGAGTTTACAAAACCTTTTTACCAAAGGAACATTTTGTTGACTCTCTGAAGGGATATCGAATTGATAAACTTAAATATCAAAAAAACATGTAGACTCACTATGTTATGGTACACAACTTTTCAATATGATTTCTATGAGGATAATCCTATTTCAGTAAACTTTTGCAGTCACTTAATTGGCATATTAAAACAAAAACCAAGATGTAAAACTATTTTCTCACCTTGCCTGAATCTATCCAGAAGACATTTCGTGCCACCCAATCTACAGCTAAACTGGCAATTTTCTTCATGTCTCCCTTCACAATAATCTTGTGTCTGAATAACAACATTGTTGGCAAAGATAATAATTCAATTTAAAAGTCTACACAAAACTAAACAAGACTAATTGGGACCTCAAAGCTCAGAATTTTAATGGTGAAACTTAAACATACAAGGTTAATTCCTTGGGATGTAAAAATACAGACGAACATTAAAAAAACTGTACTAGTACTCACTCTTGGTTGCTGTCTAAAGATGATTTACAAATGACTGGATGATCATACTTGAGAAAAGAATGGATAATTTCTTGACAGATTGGATCATACCCTAGTGATTGGATCTCCTCATCGTCAGAGGAATAGATAGTGTAAGGATCACCCCCGATATAATTCAACGAGAACTGAAGAATATCTGAATCATGAGCAACTAATAACATCTTACTGGAACCTTTTCCTAAAAAAAAAATAGGAGAAATCAACAGAAATTAATGAAAAATGCAGATTAACATCCTACTGTTCAGTACCTAATAAAGGCTAAAGCACCTCAGTTTTAATGTCACACCTCAAGGACTAGAAAGATAAAATTGATGAATGCTTACTCTGACAAGTGTGTTGATCTTCCCCAAGCTGGAAATCTATAGGACAGGCACATGTATACTTGGCTACATTATTACTTAATAGACAAATATGACTACATTTCTCTAGCTGGCACGGTGAACCAAACACATCTAAAAGTTAAAAAATAAATTTGCATTAATTCCTAACTTTTCTGCACATGATTTGGTGAGCTAGAGAGGCAAAACCATGCAGTGTGCAATGAGGGAATTTTTTTTAAGGAAGGTTACTCTTTTTTAAATTGCAACTGTCAAGGGATATTTAACGTGCACAGCCTGTAGCACATGAGGCCTGTTTATGTCCCACTCAAACCAATAGGGCCTATTTCCAACCGGCATCACTGACAGGGGAGACAGCGTTGAACAATCTTAAGATATTATTCTTACCATAGAACAAGAAGCATTAAACCTACCTGGTGTTTGTAGAGAGGGGTGTAACACGACAGCAGCTGTTGTACGAGGTACGTTACTGACAAGATGAGTTCTATTTCGTCCCTTCAGTTTGTTAGCTGAGTTCAGAGTATGTTTCACTTGGTCTGACCAGATCATCAAGTCTTCAAATACCACCAGAAGGGACGGGTGGTGAACTTCATGAGCTAAGATCACCTAAAGATAAAATTAAACTGAGTTTTACACCCTAAGTTTGAACATATCAATATAAATACTGACATAATCTGTGCCACAGACCAACAGACTCAGAAAGCTAGTTAAGTTACCTGTCGATCTGTTCCATCCAGCTTGATGCTGTCAATCACTCCGAAAGTTAGGTCAGCCCAGTATAATCGACCAATCGTATAATCTATAACAAGACATGTAGGTTGACCAAGTCTATCTGATATAAAATCTTGTTTATTATCACCATCCATCCAACTCTTACTGATTTTTCTCGTATTACCAGCTTCTGATAGGTACAGATTCCTAGACAGAGAAATGAAATAGAGTTTAACATCCTTATTGATCTTATATTGAAAAACTGGTCAAATTTCACCCAGTTTCGTTGAAATCAGTAAAGAAGTTTGCCTTCTAGTATGTTACAGAGCTGAATATTGAATGCACTTCCAAGAACAAGGGCAATAACTCATTAAATATATTTCTGGTATGCATTCTTGAATAAAGACAATTTCACCATGGCAAACAAGGATATTTCTCCTAGCTCAGCTTACCCACCATATTTAACCAGGCCATTAAACAAAACTGAATTGGCTTACCTAGCATGTGGATCCACAGCAATAGAGGTTGGTGAATGTAGTTCATTGAGAATAACAGAACAGCTTACACCATCTGGTTTACAGACTACAACCTCCCCTCTTCCACTGTCCACTATATACAGGTTCGCTCCTACCCAATCATATACTAGACTTTCTACACTGACCAGTCCTAGAGTAAAATGAAATAGAGTTTTACATCCTACTTTTCTGATCCAGTCTGACCCGTAACATATTCTTTTCTCCTTTTCAATTGATGAGGGATATTTCACCTACACAACCTTCAGCATGCAAGCAAGGAAGTCGTAAAAACCACTTCTTTTGCCAATGTGAGAATAGAAACGAAATAAAGAATGTGACGTACCAACAGAGATGATGGCTCGACGACGATGTAGTATCCATTCATCTGTTCTTGATTTATAAACTTTCTTATCTGTATTACTGGCCCAGTACACTGTTTTACCATTACTGTCTACAGCTGAAATAGATACATGATACAGTTTATTAAGCAAAATATTTGACAACACCTTGAAGTGTGCAATGATGGAAGATTATAGTTTTACCACTATTGTCTACAGCTGAAATAGATACAAGATATAGTTTATTCAATACAAATATCCAAATTGAAAGCAAAGGTGAAAAAATGAAATAGTTTTTAATCTTACTATTCTATATACAGAGTGGATTAATAAAGAAAGGCAAAATTTATAGAGGCTCTGCCCAAAGGACCTTCGTTTATCCCCCAAAATTGTAACTCAAAAGAGAAAAACTTTCAAATCCTCTGGGAATGTCTTATAATTTATTCACACGAGTTATAAAATGGGAAGGATACTTTACAAAGTTATAACTTCATGACTTTGTATTAATGAGAAATCATTAATTATTCTAAAGACCATCTTACCTAAAGCAGAGATACCTGTTAAATCTGTTCTGAAATATGACGTATCTCCCGAGTTTAATCCTAACTGAGTTATAGATGTACGGGTTGAATAAAACAAGATGGCTTCCTTCCCTGAAACACAAATTACAACTTTTATAGCAAAGACTAAAGATAAACTAGGCTTGTGGTGCCAGGCAGGGTATGTTTACTCTACTAGACACCTGATACCACTTTCCATTATGAAATACTTACTCATTTATAATTGATATCCTTCCTCATATGAAAATTTCATTTGCTGCTACTAATGTTTTGCCTGTTTTGGATTTTGATTTTTCGATCAGATGGTTAGTATTTGTGTTTACTAATTTTAGACTTACCTGGTACTCTACAGGTGTGGTCGTCTGGTTCTAGTTCGTAACCATGGATACAGTCACATTCATAACTTCCAACAGAATTCTTACAAATCTGACTACAGCGTAATTCCCAGGTTTTCTTCGACAGACATTCATCTGTATCTAAAACAAAATAATCAATCTTATACATCCACAATTTCAGCCATTTTAAATGGGGTTGATATACTTTGACGTGGATTAGAATAATGATTGATATATTCATTCAGTGAGTAGTCAGGTAAATTCTGATGTATAATTAGCTTACTCTTTCTTCAAGTACAAATTTTCACCGTCATCCCAAGATCTAAAGAATACTTTTCAAATTCATTCAGTAGACAATCAGGTAAAATTATTCTAGATAAAAGCAATAACTACATGAATCTTCTTTCAATATAAATGTCAGGAACTGGCATACATGCTCATCCCAAAATTTAAAGAATGTCACTAAGAGAGCAATCAGGGAAAAAATAGAGAGTGCAACTCACCAACACAAGTTTTCTCATCCTTATCTAATTCTAGTCCACTGACACAGAGGCAGGTCAAGCTTCCTTTTACTGGAGCGCAAGCTTGTGAACACCCTAGTTTGGCACATTCCATAGCTGAAAGATTACATAATGAGCTAAATATCAAAATAAACTAGAGCTCAAAGCATGCTTCAGATATACAATCCTCATCAGGATAGATAGTTTTGGAAACAGGGTTCAAAACCAGTCCCACAGCACCCAATTTTACAGCAAGACACAGTGGAGTATTCTTATAATGCATTGGAATTCCTGTAATGTTTTTCTCTCTTGACACCTTGGCCAGTGCTTCTATAGGAGAGTAACACTAGTTGTCAATTACTTCAAAATCCAACTTACAGCAGTTTTTCGGCTCATCAGACCCATCTAAACAATCATCTCTTCCATTACAGACTTTTCTTACATCTAAACATTTCTCTAAGTTAGTACACATAAAACTTCCTGGTGTTCTTTCACATCTCTCTATTGTATCTAGTATATACAAAATATACAATCAGTATTAGTTACATGTAGAGTGTCTTGAAATAAAACAACATCTTATCTTTCACCAACATTTACAGGTAAAGATCACTATAAAAAAACCTTTAATTTTAATTTCCAAATGTTGGAGAAACACCAACGTAAACAGTTTATTGTCACATCCAAACAAAGGTTTCACAAACATGCTCTTCTGCTCATGAGTAATTATGATTGTTAAGAAAAACTTACGGCAAGTGTTGTCTGCTTCATCCGCACCATCAACACAATCTGGTATCAAATCACACATCTGATATCTGTTAATACATAGGGTGGTGTTCGGACACAGAAACTGATCAGTGGCACAATTTACTTGATCTATAATGAAATAAACACCCATATTTTACAAGAATACTGAACAAACCTTTAGGAAAATATTTTTTTTAAATATGAGGTTTTCAAGGTTCCTGTCTACCACCTGGTGTTTGACTAAATGCTATGTTATGTTTTTTTTTAGGAAAATGATGCAATGAAAAGCACTAAAAGGCTTCAAAATTACCAAGTCTCCCAGATGCTTTGTTGACAACAATAAACCAGTTTGTGCACCACCATGGGCTTAAAATGACCTTCAGGGACAATCTTACTGAAATGACATACCACAAGAATGTTCATCAGAACCATCATTACAATCTTCACTTCCATCACAAACAAAATCATTAGGGACACATTCTCCTCCACTCTTACAACGGAAACTATCATAATCACAGTTCTTCAAGTCAGAGTTCACTGGAAATAAAACAGTTAACATAGACAAACTATTATAATCACAGTTCTTCAAGTCAGAGTTCACTGGAAATAAAACAGTTAACATAGACAAACTATCATTAATACAATTCTTCTTCAGTTTAAGACAAAGACAGAGAAAAAGTTTTGCTTGGTTACGTCAATTATGAAATGGTGTAGCAGGTAGGACTACAACATAACCACCAGCTTGGAAATTTTGAGTCTTACTTTTCTATAACTGATTTGGCGAAGAAAGACAGCAACATGCTGTGTGCAATGAGGGAATTTTTTCCAGGTAGCGCCATTAACCTACTCTATTTTCAACTGTTGAAAACATTCAGTTTGTAGTTCATAGGGCATTGACTTATTTCAACTATGAGATCAAAGAAAAAAACAACTTACAGCAACTAATTTCATCTGATCTATCAGAGCATTGATCTTGGCCGTCACATTTAAAATCTGGATCAATACATCTTCCATTGTCACATTTAAACCACGATATCGGACACACTTCAACCGCTAGAAAATAGATAATATACTTAACGGGCGGATTAATAGTTGGATAAATGGATGAAGAAAAAGATGGATAAATATATGTAAGATAAGTAAGGTAGGGAAATAATGTTATCCAATTAAACAGTAGCTTACAAATATTGCAAAGAAAGCAGCCAATGAAATCACTGTTCTCAACACATTATTTGGATGTTATTTCACTCACATATAAAGCCATTAACCATTGGAATGCTTGAATGCAAATTACAAAGGTTTTTTAGTACCAGTATCAAAATTTTAGAACCACAGTTTGATTCACTCAACAATTTATGTATTGAGCACATTTTTTAACTGGGATAATATTTTGTAATTGTCATGGTACTTACTGCAATTGGCTTCATCTTCACCCTCCAAGCAATCCTCCAATCCATCACATAACCAGGCTTTCTTTATACAGTGTTTATTCTTACACTGGAACTGGGAAGTTGTACAATTCTTCACTGGCTTACTGCTTCCAAATAAATCCCATAGTATACCTGACAATACCAACATTTCTCACATGAGCTTGATTATTTTTAGGGGAGGACACCCCCTGCATGTTCTACTGGTTCAATGAGGTAACTGCAGCCATTATAGGCAAGCCATTTCTTTCAAGTTGGCTCACCTACCATTGTAAGGCTGAGAGGGTTTGTCCTATTCATAACTCTATGCAATATAGCCTATTGTTATATTACCGTACCTTTGAGGAATCGAAGACTCTAGGAAATTTCTTTGAAGTACATGATATCAACTTGACCTATTTCAAAGGAAATCGAATGGAACATAATAAATATATTAGCCTGTAATAGCCGTTCTTCTCTAGGCTACTTACCATGTGAAGAGACAAACAAGCTTGCCAACAGAACCAAGGTGAATATTTTCACCATACTGACCAAAGCTTTGTGTTCAAACTGATAGTGGACGATGAGTAGATGTCATCTCTCTCTCTATCACTATCAATATAACACGCCAGTCGTCAAGCACGTGCATTCTGGTCACCGAAATAGGCCAATCGTTGACTTCCAATCAGTCACGCTAAACGATTTCTTTTCGTCCCTTTTGTTTCACTGAAAGAAAGTTCTGAACTGAAATCTTATAGCGATTGATGCTCAGTGGGATTTCGACGTTTTGTCATTTTTTGAAAATCTTTTCCCTCCACTGCCGCCACTGAGTCTCTACCTTTTCAGTAGGCCCAGCCCCTTGCCCCTTGTAATATTTGTTCAATGTAAGCACTAAGCCTAGCCGACTCACCTACTGCAGTGATGGTCTACCCTGGCTGACGAGGGGATAAATAAATGAAGGTCATCTTACAAAAGAAATTTTGAATCTTTGTAGCGAACCATTTTGTTTTTGAACGCTTCCAGAATTTTCGTCTGCTTAAATGATCAAAGGGAGAGAATCCAGATCAAGCGCGTGCACGAGTTGACTCCCTTGATTGGAGGTTTTCATGAAGAAGGTAGAATAAACCCTTCTATTCAGGAAACTTTTATTGCGAAACTTGAAAAATACATGTGATATCTTGTCGAATTTCGCCATTTTTCTGATTTTTCCTGTCGAGAGGGGTTGGCAAGATGTTTGACAAGAACTATTATAAACGTTACTTGCCCAAAGATGCTGCGGACATGGCTGCATTGGGCGTTTTAGTGGGCGTAGTCCATTTAATGTTGGTGTTTGAATTGTTCGTGGTTTTGCCTTTTGTTTATCGAAGTCACCATGGAACCTTTTCCTACTATATCCATGTGTTAAGTGCTATTTTTTTGTATGTGAACGTTATGGGCAACATGTACAAACTCATTACAACAGAAAATGGAACCAAAGGGATGATGCTGCCTGTCATTTTGAAAGAGGGTTGGCGTTTCTGTAGCGGATGCGAATGTAATTCTCCACCAAGATCATTTCATTGTTTTACCTGCAACAAATGTGTGTTGAAACGAGACCACCATTGTTCGTTCACTGGAAATTGTGTTGGTTTCTCAAATCAACGTTATTATATTCATATGTTATTTTTCATGTTTCTTGCTGCCACTTACGCGAACATCTTAAACTTTGATTATGCCTATCATACGTTACATGGACTTAGTTTTAAGACTTTATTTCTAATGATCCTACCCATTGTAGCGTGGACGTTTGGTGTTTCAGAATCAGTGACGGTCGGTTCTGCATTTATGACATCGGTATGCCTTATTTCTTTTGGACTCTCAACAATTTTGCTGATTTATCATATAGGAAATATTCTAAGAGGTCAAACTACTTTTGAAAGTGCTCAGAATATAAAACTCTATGATCTAGGCTTAGAGAAAAACTTGATGATGTCCTTCGGAAGAAATTGGAGATATTCATGGATCAGCCCATGGATCAAGTCACCTTTGATTGGAAATGGTTTGGAATTTTCCAATGAGGAACTGTTTGAATCGTCTAAAACTATTTAAATCATGTGATTGGTAATTTAAATCCCCTCTATATTCTGCGAAGTAATTGCTCAATCACTTAATGAGTGCTGCATTTATTCTAAGAATTAAAGTAAAATGGTTAGATTTGATTTATTCACAGAAATCGTAATTCCCATGTTTTACACCTGTCATCTATTTGACAGTTGACACCCCTAAACTTTCTATGGAACAAATTACATCCTGCCTTGATCATGTAAAAATATGATTCATTTTGACATAACTAGATGTCCCACATAAAAAGATACAGTTTTTAGTTTTTGTTCTGCTATATTCTTATGTTTTATTTTGATTAATGCCAAGTATTGATGCATAATTTTGATTTATTTTGTGGTTGTAATTCAAGTATTTAATAAAATTTGTATTTTTGTAAACCTTTTGGTATTGTTTACATATTTAAATGAGATATTGATGTGGACCCAGCACTCAAAAGTGAGTTTAAAAGACAGCAGGGAGGGAGAGAACAGAGACGAGCCCAAATCTCAAAAGCAAGGGCCATGGAAAAACTCACATAAATAAATACTTGATCTAAGATTTTACGCCTTTTTTTTTTCCACCTAATTTACAATATTTGATTATTTATAATTTTATTTTTCCTCCAAAAGTTTTGAACAGCCAGTCTTATTGATTTCCAGATGGCCTGCAAGAAAAAAAGACAAAATCAACAATATTATTTTTAATAATGCTTCTAAATTAGCTTACAATTTATTTTAATAACAATGGCTTAATCAACAAAAACAACATGTCTTCTTTTAAATTGTGTCTTCCCCACCCCCCAAAAATAGCCATAGCATAAAAATTTTTTTGGCACCGACACCCATATCTTAAATCAAAATAAGAGGCCCATGTGAGAAATCTGGATTTTTAAAGCCAATTTAGTTTTACTTACTTGGCCCATTCTACACTTAGAATAAGATGATCATATCCAAAGCCAGAAACCCCAGCTATAGCCCTCGCTGCATCTTCTCTACGGTGAAAATTAATAAACGCAAACCCCTGAAAAAATCATAGAACAACTCAATTATAATGACGATCTTTGAATTGTCTGAAAGGACAATATTTTATTCAATATCTAGATATACTACAGCAGTCAGATAGATTATGAAATGAAATGGTGGTCGTGGGTTCTAATCTGTGTGAGTTGGAGAAATGGATAACCTCCCTTACTCTAATTTACATATTTATCGATATAACTCATCCCTTGAAAGAAATAGTAAATAAAAACTTGGAAATGATACTTCATCAAAATTATGACTTACTTTACTTTGTCCTGTGAGTTTATCTTTAGCTAAATAAATACGAGAAATGGGTCCAAACGGTCGGAATAATTCCTGTAAATCTGTTTCTCTGGTTTCTTCTGATAAATTGGTCACTCGGATAGTAGCAGCTTCATCTGGAATAAACAGAAAATATTTAAATGTTTCATAGACATAAGAATAAGACCCCACTCCTTGTCAAAATCTTCAGCAGTTTATATTGATTTCATTATGTTTCTCTAAAAGGTACTATTCTTAAACAACCTAGGACTCAAATATGCTTTCATTCATTTTGATTAGCCTAAGAGTAGAAAATTTGCTTTTGAGAGTGACCTGTATAGTTGAAGCTGATACTGAGTTCATTCTCAAAAGCACTTGCCATGGTATCAGAATTTCTATCACTTTGAGGAAGATTCAGACCCACCTATTACAAGATGCAATTATTTTTGATTGATGAGGACAAAATAACAAACCTACCCTTTCTGCCTTGTGCCATAGTCTCCCCTCGTCCCTTATTAGCTCCATCTCTCAAACTAGGGGGCACATATTTACCACCAATTTTAGGGGCAGCTGAAGGGGCACCAGGGGCTGGTCCTGCCCCACCCTCCCCAGGAGCTTTTTTACTGGCATCCTCTGTCAAATGTTCTTGTAAGGGAGCCAATGTGTCTTTGTAAGGACATTTTGTTGTCCAATGGTCACCCTTACAGATTCGACATTGTACAATTTTTTGACTTTTCAACTTGGCGAGTGGATCTTCTTCTTTCTCTGGTTGTTGCTGAAATTGTCAAGAAAAAATAAATAGAGTTTTACACCTTCATTTTCTGCTCCAGTTTGTTATGAAGATAGTGTCTAATGAATAAGAAAAAAAAGCTGAATATTTCTCAATTCAGCAAACTTGACATGGGTCATCTTATAACTGCTGTCTCTACAAACAAGGGCCAATCAAGTTTGGTTAAAATTTAATGAAGTTAGACTCTCCTGAATGACTTTCTGGACTAACATGCTTTGATTAGATTATTCTAATGAATACAAAAATACATTCATAGACTACTGTCTGATCACAGATTCTGAAGATCAGAAACTAATAGTAGGGGTAATATTTAATTAAACTTACATCTCTGGAGTTGATAAACTGCATGTTAATTTCTTCTGAGATAATAGTATTAGCCGAGTTCGGTCCTGGAGGATCACGTTCTGCTAGACCGTACTTCTTCCAATTCTAGTAGAATAAAACCATTAACATATCAATTCACAAATAAAAGGGAAAGATTGTATGGCAATACAGGAATCAAGACAACTGAAATCTTGAACCTGTCAACTTTGACTCTTAAAGGGAAAAGTTTTCTATGTTTATTGGGGATTGCAAATAGTCTTCAGTACTACCAGAAATGTATAAAAATCACATAGCTCCTTCATAAAAACCTAGACAGTTTATATTACAGAAGTCTGGCAAGTTGGTTTAATTTACCTTTCTTCGAGCGATTGATTTAGAAACTTTTCTTGTTTCCACTTTGTATGTTTTCACCATCTGAAATCCAAAAATACAAAATCAGTCAATAAATATCCTTAAAAAATGAAAAGGACTGATTTTTTTTGTGAATTCTGACCAAATGAAAATTGATGTTATATTTTTCTACACCTGATAGGGCCAATGAAGACGCACAAGGCCATGCAGTGTACAATGAGGAACTCTCTCGTGAAGATATCCAGTAGAGAAACCCGGTTGAAGTGTGACGTGAAGGTTATATTACCTTGACTAGTTTATTGTCTTCATTATATTTATATTCTGTGATGGTTTTAATTCCATTTTTCTCATCAAAATCTTCAGAGCTTGGCGGCAAACCTGACAGAATTTAAAAAAAGAAAAGGATTAGACGTATTCATTGCATGATGGTTTTATCTACTAATAACATCTCTCTAGTCTGAAACATCTGCCTCTATTCAAACCTCTTGTAGCCATTTTTGACAGTTACCATCTGGTGTAAGGTCAGCTTAGCCCTGTTTCAAATTTACTTCTCTCATGCACAATTTTCGTGTTGTTTTTCACTTGGTTCATTCTCGAGAGAAAATAGATCTCCATGTTTGAGTGCACTCATCAGAAATGCTTGCTATTGTAGATACAAGTAAACAAATGCCTTTTAAAAGAGAATTTCTACTAAGGTCAAAAATCTTTAGTAAACGACTTATCAAACCTCAGAAGCTAATTAGCAAACTTCAAGACTTCAACAGATATTTAAAACATATGGCATGGAACAAGGGGAAAAAGACTTGTCAAAAATACAAATCCAGAAATCAGAGGTTCAATATTGGCTACATTACCTTCATCGCCGGCTTCAACTTGTTCAGCCCAACTGATCCCCTTGCTTCTGAAAGACAAACAGACGATAATAAAACACAGATCGGCATCAATTAATGGATAAAAATACGACTTTTTTTATTAGAAAAATACCTACTCAGATTCTAAAGACGGCATGTTGATTTTTCAAACCGGAAGTTGCAGGTGCGCGCTATCCAAAATTGTGGAATGAGATCTCCACTGAAACTTAAAACGAAATTATGTTTAATTTTTTTAATGTTGAAAAACACTCTTCATTTAGTATATTTTGTCTAAATACATTTTATAAAACTTCGTCCAGTCTATCATGTTATTTTTAATGCAGAACAGATTTTTAGAATATTAAGAATTCCAGATTTATTGGACTGAGGCTATTTACCACACACAGAAAATTGGAAAATTGTCTAACAGTCAAAATTCTCAAAAGTCAAATCATGAAACAAAAGCCTTTTAAAATGAATAAATTTATCACAGGGAAATAAACGTGAAAATAAATTATCTTGCTATAAGAGGCGTGGATTAAACAATATCAAAGGCAGAATATGGACCTACTTACTCTTCTATGAACACTGTCTATAGATAGGCCAGTCTTAGCCATGGAGTTATATTTTACTGTATGGCCTTACTCATTGGAACATCAATTCTATTTGCCACAAAATGTTACAAGCATAGTTGCAAAATACACCAACAATTTCCAATTCTAATATAATATTATAATGAAGCGAAATCAGCTTTTCTTAACCAGATGCGTGGAAAATAGCCCATGCCAATTGAATATGAACTAAACGATAAATTCATAAATGACAAAATTGAAAAAACAAAGAAATATTGCCTGTTTCATTTACTACCAGCCATTTCTTTGAATATTTATAAAAAAAACTTTCAGTAAAGAAAAGCCAAAAATCAAAACATTTTATCGGTTGGTACAACCTTTTTCATTATGGCTGCAGCCATGCAAGAATTTACACTGGACGACTGCAAAGGTTTGTTTTCACGGCTTTAATCTCGATAAATTATCATAACAACTCGTTCGTACTTTCTCTGAATATGTGGTGCTAGGGCCGAACGTAAATTTTCAGCACGTTTCAAAGGATTTGGCATAAAATGAGCCATTGAATGTTGATGGTATGCATTTCAGGAAAAAGGTTGGGGGTGGGGCAAATTGATGTTCCTAATGCAGGCTGATATCTTGGCTATCTGCAACATTACATGTAACAATATTTTTTTGAGGTACAGTATCACGCTAACGAAACCATTACAACTTGATTCAATCTTTCCTCGTTTTTCAGCGGCTCTGAATGATGTTATGTTGGCGTTTAAACAGGAAGATAATAGTCACAGACTAGAAGAAGCACGACAACTCGCTGGTAATGATATGTTACGGACCATGCAGATCTTCTTTCCTATCGCTACAGAAATACAGATGGGTATTATAGAGAAATATGGTTTCCCTGCTGATGGAGATGGTACGTATTTGTATTTTCATTATAGAACAAACCTTTTTGGTCATTTTAAAATGTGGTTCCCACTGTCAGTGATGCTCGTAGGACGGCCCGATGAAGAAAAGGCTTCTAGTGGTTCAGACGTGATAGTAAACCAAGTCCTTGTGTGCTACAAACTATACACATTAAAAATCCCTCAGCTGTTGTAAATTGAAAAAATGTAAGGTAGAGTGAATGTTGACAAAATTTCCCTCATTGCTAACTGATTTGTTTAAGGTGTTGCACAATTTATCAGACCAGGTGCCAAAAAGTCTCTGACTGTCAAATTGTACCAACAAAGAAGACCCAACCCTTACCATAACCCCTCCTACACTAACTAAGCACCCCTCTCTATATCTTGGTATATTATTTGTTTGTCAGGTTTAGTGAGATTTACGCAGGCAGTGAAACTCTATGAGAAACAAGACCCAGCTATAACTCAACTCAATCAAGAATTACGTAACGTCTTGATGCCACCGGTCAATGTGCAGCCAGTCAGCCCTTCACAACAGAATGGCAACAGTAGCTGATGTCATGACAACACGTCATGTCATGTCACAGTTAGAGAGGTGTCACTCTTGTTGTGTTTAGCTAATGCTCATACAAATCTTTTTAAATATTGCCATTTCTTCAATATATGTTTTGTTCTTGTGATTTGAATAGAGAAATAGTTAGCCGTTTTATTCATTTATAAAAATTGCTGACTTTCGTATTTTTTCCTCGAGATTTTTTTGATATTTTGAAATATTTGTGTGAGCATTAGCTAGCATCATATTTAGACGTTCAAATTTTCAATTCTTCAGATAATTCATAGCTTTTTCTTTTCATTTTATTTCAACTTTCTGACAAGGTTTAGTCGTTAAAACCACTTCTTTTAAAGGTTTTTTTTGGGCCGTAGAAAATATAAAGAGGAGAGGGACTATGGGGGAAGGGGTGAACCCTTTTCTCAAAATCTCCTCAACAACAGATATGTCAGTTGTCAAATTATTAGGAAAATGACCACTCCACCCCATTTTCCCATCTCCTATATCTAGGCCCTTTTTTCTTTTACTTAGGACCCAAATGAAATTGGATGGAATTTAAATTTCTTTTTATATTTTTTGCAAAAATGAATTTTTTACGCAAGTATTAACTTTTTATAGCAAACATTTTCATATTGTTTAAAGCATATAGAAATATGCAAATTTTTTTGTGTGCAAATTTGTGACTATCTCTTCAAAACTAAGCTAATGGGTCAAAATTTGAAAGAAGTTGTGAATGGGCTATGTTTGTGAGCCTCACACATTCATTTTTTACCCCATCAGAGTAGTTATGTTGAGGGGGTCCCATTAACAATTTATTGGTTTCATATTTCAAAAATGCATATAGATTTTATGCCCTTATATGATAGAGATTTTATTTGCAAACATAGATAATGTTGCTTTTTATATTTAGCTTTTAATATATACATCTTTGCATTTATTCATCTTGATAATTTGTCTACATTTGCCAGTCATGTCTAATATTGGAGTTTGGGAATGAGTCACTCTGTTCAGGGCATTTTATATTGATATTTGCTAAAAATGAAATTCAGAGAATTTAAAATGAGACAATTTGATTGGTTAATAAAGCTAGATTCAGAATTAAATTAGTTATTGTCCAATCAGATGACTGGAGAATTCAGTTCTTGATAAGTGAAAAACATTTTCAAATGCAACAATTTGCCGCACAAAAATATGGACAAAATTTGTCTGGCATTTAAAATAAAATATTTGTCCGGCATTTAAAATAATGAGTCAACATCCCTGGACAATGTAAATATAAATATATATAAATGTATGATAACTGTTTTATAATCTTTGTGATAATCAAATGCCAAATTTTAGTTTAGTTTTTCAAAACTTAAGATCTTTGAGAAAAAGAGATAAGGTTTTTTTTTGCAATATATTGTATTTTACAGATGTACTAAAATGATAATTTTCAAAAAAACTTTTGGATCAATTTTCCAAATGAAGGTTTATAAATTTCTCTGATTATGTTAGTAATAAACTTATTAATATACTCTATCATAACCTCAATTCAGTTTTCTAATCAAATATATTCAATATCATTTTTTTGAATTCTTGTTTGAATTATTTTAAGGGGGTGGGGAATTTTGTTTGTACCCCACTTCATTTCTTTGAAATTTCAACACATAGTTTTCTTGCAATGCCCAAAATATGTGTCAAAATACATCCCTTCAAACCTACATGAGAAGTTTGCACCTCAGATGCTTCCAGTTCTTCTGCATTTTGAATCTCGACCTTGACAGTGTTGTCTCCCTACCCTCTATTAGCACCCCCAGTTCCTAACCCCACCACTGTACAATAAGATTTCACAGTTACTGGTCATATATATTAGTGAGTTTAATAGTATTATTATCAGCTGGTGTATTTAGTATTTTATTGTTTCTATTGGTAACAGCTGTTTATCAATGTGTCTATCTAATTTATCATTTATTAAGTGAGATACCAGCTTAATATAATATACTATATTCCTGGTACCCCATAACATAACTTCACAGTTTCTGATAATTTAAATACAACGGTTATCAGCTGGTCTTTATTACTTTCTAGCACCACAAACCATTTTCACAGTTACTGATTATAATAATAGGTCAAATGAATATAATAATTATCAGCCAGTCTATTATTTCTATAACAATAGAATAATTATTGTTTTAATATGGTATCATGTGGTACAGGTCGTTAAGAGAAATCTAAATATTAGCTTCAAAAATAAGACCCTAGCTAAGGCTGACTAAAAGATGGTGAATACAGTAAACAGCCATACCCTAGCTTACTGTCAGGGCCTCATTGATTACTCCAGCTGGTGATGTAAGGTGATGAAGTACTGACCCAGACACTGAGCTGATGAAAAAAGAGGTTTCCAAGTGATTTTGTATTTTATTTATTTACAACTTGTTTACAATAACTTGGCAATATCTAATTTTACATTATTGTAATGCCAAACTGAATTACTGGGGTCTGAGGTGGGGATACACATTCATATATACCCAGTTTCACTCAAAATTAAAACTTCATATCTGTAAAGATAGCATTGAGTTGAAATATGTCTCTTGAATACAATGTTGCTATTAAGGAAGGGCACATCCTCAGAGAGTCCACATAGCTGAAAAACTTTATTGTATCTGGGTTTGTCAACTCAACATCCATTTCAGAGAATCAACATAATGATTTATGTAGAATTTTGTTTTGTCAACTCGACATCCCTTTCAAGAGAGTCCACATAGCTAATATTGTTTATTTAGTATTTAGGTTTGTCAACTCAGCATCCCTGTAAGAGAGTTCACATGGCTAATATGTATTTGCTGTAATTATTACCTCAGACAATTTCAAGGGATTGACATATCATAATTGACGGCATTGTAAGTTCATTACCCATCTCGTGCCAGCACTGAAAAAGTTACATCTTAAATTCTGTGGGTTTGAGGGTAGTAGTTTAGAATGAAAGATATTGAACACCATACATAATACATTCACACTGAAGACAAATTTACATGCAAAAATTATAAATTGAAGTGATTTTATGAATTGATGGCAAATTGAACAAATTATCAGACTAGAATCAAAAAATGTTACACGGTACATGAACAATCATTCCAACTATATTTTTGGCATTTCTATATAACAAGAGCTTATTCTATGCTGTAGATGTAGGTTTCAGATATAAAATCCTCATCAGGACAGCTGTTTTAATATGACAATTAACAGTTTCAAAAGGGCTCTACACCATATACTTTGCGAATTTGTATGTTTAACTCTTTATTTCAAGTTTTGTTTTTTTTTACTAAAAATAAACGATTTTTAATTAATTTGCTTTGAGATTTTTAACGAATTTCCCATAAATAATACTAAATACACTATATCAGATGACAATATGAAATTCATACAGAAAGTTTGTAGGGTACAAAAAAAAAAACAAAGAAAATTTTGATAAAACTAAAAGCAACAATTTTCGTACCACTCTCACAGCAGATCTGGTTTTTCTATAGAAACAAACAATAGATTGTCATGGCAACCTGAAATATTCTTTCAATATCATTAACCGTCACCCTTAATATATATAATCAAAGTCTGAGTTCCATGTTGGAATTTCGTTGTCGGAGGCAAATCATTGACAAAAAAAATCTAACAGAAGACTGACCTTGATAGTTACCATGGCAATGTCAAGGTTATTTATAATGTAACCTAGCAACATACATAAACAATGATCTGCTTTAAACCATGGTATTATATAAACCTAAATATATTTGCGTTACCAGCGTTTTTTATGTTCGTCCATACTGACGCCTCCAGGGCCATAGGCAACAACAAGCAATAAACCCCCAATGACTGACAATGTTTGGAAAAAATCGTATTTGAGAAAATCGCGCATTGGCTTATAATCAGGAATACTCCAAAATGCATTGAAATAAAAATTCAAACAAGTTAACCAAACGACTAATATTAATGCAGATAATTTGGTTTTGAAACCGACGGCAATCGCCAAAATAAGAACTGTACCGATTATATTCTGTAGAAGCATAAAAAAGTTCATTTCAAATCGAATTAAAGTTAAGAACATTAGAACTAGTAATATTCTGCCACTAAGCTGCATGTACTGTTTGGGATTATTTTCTCCCAGTGAAGGTAAACCAGCAAACAAACTCTTTCCTTCTGCCTTATTTTCAGCTAATAATAGCAACACTCCACCAGCTAAGGCTAAATTTCTGGAAATAAAATTTGGATTTGGTTAAAACTTTGTGAAGTGGAAGAGTTTAAATAATAACATTGTTGTAATGAGATAGAGCATAATGTTTTATTTTTCAGTACACTATTAGCTTATGAAATGAAATGAGTTTTTAATTTACATTTCCTCACATGAATGGGCTAATTAAATAACATGGTGTCACTTTTAACTTTTCACACTCGAAAGGGCAAAAGCTTGCTGAATGTTTTTTTAACAACTATTCTCTTTATATTCACAGATATTAATCTATTCTATAATGAACAGGTTTCTGAAAATTTACAAGAACTTGGTTTGACTCACCTTAATAAAAATTTTAAGTCCCATAAAATACTGTAAGCTACCGTCTGAAATTCAAAATTTAAAATAAATACTAAATATATGTATAATTAACTATATGGATTCCACAACCGTGAAGACAAAACTTTCAAAATAATACTAGTTCAAAGATTAATGAAGACATAGGGGATGGTATTTGTCAATAAAAAAGCTTCTCAGTTCCTCAAACACCCCTCGTTTTAAAAATAAACTCATCTAAACAGTCACATCACTTAATGACGCATATTGACAAAATTGCATTTCAAGAAGATTTGAGTTACGAGGTATAAGCTTAATAGGAAACCATATTTGATGATAAAATTCAAATGAAAAGATGTCCCACCTGTAAAGCAATAATTCCAAACAAAATTCCACAGGCAATGGTGACTTTCTGTCTACTTAAAACCATAACACAACCTCCGAGCTGACCGATTAAATTAATAAACACAAAGAGACTAGCGAGAAACCATCCACAACCCCAAGATGAGTTCATATAATCTCTCTGTTCACCCCACTGACTCCACATTCGAATACCATCTTCTAAAAACGTGGAAATTAAACAAAATCTGGCAACGTGAGGCAGTACGTGTTTCGAATGTCGTAAAATCTACAAAATAGAAAAAATACGATTTGTATTAAAAAAAAAAGCCAATAACAGCAAAACATACTGAACGCAACATATCCTACCCGTACCACTAATAGGAATTCAGTCAATTCAGTTCATTAAATTAGACTGCAATTACCTAATAATTATCATCTGCTGTCTATTTTTAAAAATTCAAAATCTCATTTGTTGATTGGACTTTGGTTTGGTAAATGCAACAACAAGATTTACAAGAAACACTTGGTCACAATCACAGGCCAAATTTAGTCACATATTGTGTTCATCGCATCCCTTGCAATAAATAATGCAAAAAAAGGTGTATAGGTGTCATAAGAGCTTCAAATTGTTCATGAGCATTAAGGAAAGGTACCACTAAAGGTACCAGTGCCAACTGTCATAAGCAGCTGTCAGTGTGGCAGTGGAACTTGACTAACACGTCAGGAATGCCAATGTCATGTCAAAATGTCAGTTGGAATCAACCATTTTTGGCCTAGAACAGAGGTTAGAAATGACTTTTGAGAAAACAAATTCAAACCAATGCATAGTTACCTGATCAGCGACATCTTCAGCCTTGTCCATTAATTCGTTTTGCTTCGGCATCTTGCCGAAACTGTGTATTTTTCTCTGCTAACTGCAGCCACGTAAACTACAAATTCACTGACCGGAAGTCAAGGTTGGCTCTTATGCAAATGACTTTTACTCCCCTGTAAACTTTCTATATTTTTTTCGATTGATACAAAAACTAATTAAAAAGAAAATGGCAAGTTTTAAAATTCACCCAACAGCTAAACCTATGACGGGAAGAAGACTCACTGCAATTTCGTAAGAATCTTCGAGTGAATGCAGTCGGAAATGATTCAGATGAATTTTTGCGCAGAGGGAGTAAATTCGGTGGAAAACCCCTTTGCCACGTTTCATACGTTTATCGCGAGATCCACTTCGACACTTTCCGTCAGTTTCCGTCAAAGATCGGGGCAAAGATGGCAGCCCCCATAGATCTCAACGCCGCTCGGAGAAATTTAGGCGAGGCCTTAGGGGACAATTTGACAATGTGAGATTTATTACATATGTCTTTTTGTGTCTGAAGACATCTTTAATCAATTAAGATGTCTGAAATTGTCATAGAAAATTTGTTATTTGAGTTATTTACGATCAAACTTGTGACATTTGAAAAACGAAATATTTCCTGTTTTTGACAAGGCCCCTTATATCAATCAAAACAAACATTTAAGTAAAATTATTCCAATTTGAAATTTTACAATTTATAATCAAGGCATAATCCACAATATACCCCAATACAGTGGTGAAAATATTAACACACTCCATAGAGAAAATGCCTAAAACATATAAACTTTTATAATATAATTTTTATATTGTTATATTGAAAATTGTTTTTCTTTTATTTTAGATATTTCCAGAATTTGAAGAACTGGTTTAAACAAAAGGTAAAAAGAGTTGGAATTATAAGTTAAAATTTAATTAACATACTTGTTAGCTTGTTTGTAGCTGAAACCTTTCTCTCCTCAAAGAATAAACTTGTATTAATATTCACAATACGAATATTTTGATATTAAATAATAAAAGTGATTGCTTTTTTTTCATCTTTCAGATCTCTAAAGAAGATTTTGATTTTGAATCTCGAAAATTATTAAAACCAGAAGAAGGTCAGTTTGAATACACTGAATTGAAATCTGATATGGAAAAATTTCCCTCATTTTACACTGCATGGCGTGTTCAATCCTCATTAACACAAACATTGGCAGAAAAGTAGGACGTAAGACTCCCTTTCATTTTGTTTGCCAACAATATTTATAAATTGTTAATATTATTTTCAGTACATCTACACAATGAGTTTTTACTGGCTATTTTATCAAGATGTCAGATGCTGGGCTCCACACTTAGTAAGTTGATACAAATTTCTTTATGTTTCTTATAACTTCTCAGACAGGTGGCTCATTCTGGAACACCTAATGCCATTTTGTAATGCGTTTGTCAAATAGTTAATAATGGATTGTGGGTAACATGGTAGATGGCAAGGTACATTCTGCCATCTTGGCATCTCTTTTGGAGTGTTCACATAACTAATAATGCTCAGGGATAATAATATCAAGTTAGTATCGTTGTACATGACAAGTGATGGAGGGTATGATCATCTTTTCTCAAACACAAAGTATAAAGACTAAACTTTTAATATTTATACCTTTCAGTATCCAAAGATCCATCAAGTAAAAGCCAATCGGTAGTGCCTGTAAAACTTTCTAAAAAAGGAAAATTAAAACGAAAACATCCTGATGGCAGATCTGATTTTATTGTAAGTTTGAATTATTTTCTTTAATGAAACATAAAGTTTTTAAACAGCTCTGTTGATAGTTTAGATTTGAACAAATTTAAAATTTTCAGCCAGGTAAATGTGATATTTTTTTATGTATAGCAATAAATATATGCTGTTTTAAATGTTCCATCTTTGTCCTATTGTCATTGTATTATCTCATGCGACGGGTTAGTTTCAGCATCATTTTTGTAACTTAACTGATCTGTCTATTCTGTTTACAGCAGAGATTCTGTCCAGTCAACCCAGTACAGTATATACCTACAGTTAATATTAGATCTACTGAAGATGAACCTCGACTAGGTAAGAAAATATCCTTGCTAGCTTTAATGGTAGAATGGACAATAATTAGGTCTCTTAATCTGGTCCTGAATGTGTGATAAAGTCAGGAGCAATAAAACTAAATCTTGGAGATTAATTTTTATGTATTATACAATGATGTGTCCAAATGATTGGAACATAAAAGAATTCAGTTATATATATGCCAAATACAACTGCCCTTTGTGAATTAATCAGAACATTTGTGGATATTTTATGCAGGACTTCAAAAGGGTTGATCAGATCCAAAAGATGGTATGATTATTTTGACATTTGTGGCTTTTTTTTGACTGTACAATGGTTATTAAAATCTAAACCCTAATCTTTATTTTTGTAGGGTTTGCAGCTAGAGAGGGTCTGCTACCTGATGACTCTATGATACATGGTAGAATGTTAGTTTGTGCCTGGGAGGCGGGGCTACAGGAAGTTAACGAATCTTGCGTAAAACTCATGTCTCAAGCTGTAGAGGTAAGTGTTTATATCAATCTATTTTTGAATAGGACCAACTAATATGTTACCACTGATGCCAACAATTTGTACAAACTATGTATTTTATGACGTCACTATCAATAAAGCTGCTAATAATATCTAAGGACCTCTCTGATAACTACCTCATGAAACACTTTTTAGTGGAATTGCAGGAACCACAGAGAGGCTGAAAATTGGAATGAGGAAAAATGTTGCTATCACTGTACCTTACATACATCAATAGTTTAGAAAACCTCTCTAGAATCATTTTACAATTTGGACCCTTTGTTACTTTTCATTTATTGTTATTTATATATTATTTACTGTATTTGTTGATCTATTTCTAGAGACAATTAAAGAATATATTAACGACAGTATTATCGCGACGAAGTGGGTATAAATTACGTCATAATAAATTCCCGTTTGCTATTGGTGGCAATGTCAGTAATCCATATTTACGACAGAATCATCTCACACATGACTACAGTCTGAATGAGTAAGTTGTTTATTTGTTATAACTTTGGATTTTTCAACCTCGTCAGGTCGTAGGGGCTGACATTGAAAAATGATCTGTCATTTCCCTCATTACTGCATGCTGTTCCTGTCTGGTTTGAGCAAATTTTTTACAAGGAAGTGTTTGTATGGCTTGGCCTACACCACGGCCCTTTTGAAAAAAAGGTTATGTCTCAGGTTTTCTTTTTTTGAATTCCAGAGAAAGAACGAAACTGTCTGTCACTGGCAATCAAATTCCCTGTTTACGTCCACCAGTAGAGATTGGAGAAGCCAGCGCTGCTCAACAGATCTCCATGGTTACCACTCCCTCTAGTGAGAAGGGAAACGTAACTTTGTATGACGTATTAGATGCTCTACAAGTAAGTTTGAAGAAATTGTACTTACCTTTTTCATACAGCAACTCTTTGTTGATCAAAAGCTTCAAAAGATGTCAGGCCTTTTTCAGAGAAATCTGGCTTATGTCATTGTTAGCAGTCAAATCATGTGAACCTTTTCATTTCAGCTCAACAAAAATGTCATTCCTGCCCACTCAGTGTATGCCCCAATGATAGAACGGATAATTCACAAATTATGGCACCCTAGCAACGAAGATTTAGACCAAGATAGTATTCACCAACAAGAAATCAGCTTAAAACAACAAATAGCCAGTCAGCAAGCAGCAGTTAGATGATGGGAGATAACTCTCAATGGAGGACTGTATAATTATCTCCCTTTGATTTAAAGGCAGCCTTATTCCTGAATGTGATATGAACATTCCTCTCTGAATCTTTCTAATAATAAATTTGTGAAAAAGTTTCTGTTACCATTTTAAAGCCAATTATGTGAGGTCTCTTTACAATCTAATCATGTTTTATGCTTCTATAGCTTATTTTGATCAAGACAGGTGGTTAAGAACCAGCTAGTGCCAAACAGGATCCATTACAAATCGTTGATGTCTTGCATCCACTCGGCTCATATAGATAACTTAAGAAATGGAAAACCTAAGTTGTCCTCTTTCTAAAATCATTGCCAAGAGGTTTGACCACGGACCAGCTGGTAGAAAGGATCCTCGAGAACGTTAATTTATCTTTGTAAAATCACTACCAAGGTTTGGCCAAGCTTGATAAAAATAGATCATTGAGAAACTAAGTTGTTTGGAAAAGGTTTAGAAGAAAAAAATTCTTATAAATTATAATTATTTCTTTCTTTTCTGATTAATAAGATTTCTGAAAATTAAGATCGTTTCTTCGTTTTTATTTCCCTTCATTGCTAAAGACTAGTAGGAGAAATTTTTGGAAAAGAAACCAAAATAACAATTCAATTAATCAATTCAGATGATCTCATGATTTATATGTTTTGAATCTTTTTGCTAGAACAGCAAGTTATGTTAAGAAGTAACATTATTTTCTATTTCAATCTGCTAGTAAGCAATATTGTTGTATATAATTTGTTATTTTGTATATAGTTTATAGTTAAATCAAGATGAAGAATAAAATTATTTTCAAACTATGTTAACTCTTATTTCACATTGGAAATAAATACTTAAATAAAATTCTTTTGATCTCCTAATTCAGCAAGATTAAATACATAGTATCATATATCATTAATTCTTAATCCATAAAAACTCTTCATGGGTCAACAGAACTTGAATGATGTTGTTATTCAGAGTTTCACGCTATATGATCTTCAGACAACTGACCTATGTTCAGTCCGAGTCCCTACATTAAGAACTCTAAAGATATGAACAATTTGAAATAGTTTGAAGATTTAATGGAGAATGAATAGACAATATTATACAGATTGTAGACAGATAGGGAATAATACAGATCTTTACAAATAATAGACAATAGTAATAAATCATACATTTACAATTTGGACGGATTGTTTCCAATATTGGATACAAAATAACATCATGGCAATGTAGCACAAAAAATCTAGGACCAAACTTTAGCTTAGGATAAAGTTTGACACTTATAAATTCAGATCACCAGATAATGTTTTGGTAATTTTTAACACAGATTTGAAGGCAATACAGTGTCAGTATTTGATTACAGAGATTGAAATCAATACAGTAAGAAATTAAAGAAAAGGCACTAATTCGTATCCATTTTGTCTATGTTTGGATGGAAAATATTGTTGCTTTGGTCAATGATATTATGAAATGGCATTACTAAGCTAGTAAGACAATGCCTTTGCCATGCAGTACACAATGACCTGGACAAAATTACCCAAACCATGCAGTATGCAATGCAGCAAATTTTCAATGGCAGCATTGGCTATTACTCTACTCTTTTTGGAATATTATTAGTATATATTGCTAAATAATAGCTCTCAAAGGATATATGAACAAATAAGAAAGCTAAGTATAGTCAGACACTACCATTAATATACATCAGAGTTTAATTCTAAACATAAACACAAACAATTCAATACATTTTATTTTGAGGTAGAATCAATAGTAATAGAAACTTTATAAGACAAAGCTCTCATGATTGCAGTTGTCTTGGGGGTAAATTGGTACAGATAATCCAGGAAAGATCAATGCCAAGAGGTTTGTCCAAGGACAAGCTGGCAGACAGGATTCTGAATTGTGAACCTAAGTTATTATCCTTGTAAAATACAGTTGTTTCTCTCTATTATGTTTGTTACTATTTAAACTAACTAAATATATAGTGAACTGTTCGTGTCTATATTTTGGATCATACCCAGTCGTGTAAAATATCTTGTTTTCGACTTCACCCCTAAATCTTGCTAAAGAGTTTCTCAAAACATACAAAAAAATATAAAAATAAATAAATTTAGATATGTACATAACTAATTTCTTAATTACAAAAATTATTCTACAAAAACTTCATAATATAACGAACATTTTAACTGATAATTCAAATGCAACATAAAGTCGTAAAGATACACAAAATATCTGGACACATGATAAATAAGCTGAACTCTTTTCACAGAGTCTTTAAACTCAGTTCATACAAATGGCTGTTTTCACAGAATTCACTTCGCAAGTGAGTTGTTTTCACTTAGGTATCAAACAAATTCCATTTTCCATCCCATTTCATACTTCCAAAATAGAAGACAAAACAACCTAGTCTTTCAATAGCCCTAAATTCCAGTTATGAAAGGCATGAATTTCAAACAGGCTAGACTTTGTTCAGTCGCAAATGAGTTTATTTCTTCCAAGTGTCTGAAAAACCCTTTTTTTATGGCTACATTGAATACAGTCTTTAAATGTGATTTAGTCATAGGATTTGAATTGCCACTCTAAATTCAACACACGAGCTTGTGATAACTATTTTAAATTGTTGATTTTACTTTTAGTTTATCTAGCTGAATACATAAATTCCATTCCATTCCATAACCAGTTTCACATTTAGTTTAGTTAATTTGGTCTTCCATTTTCTTTTCTGATTCAATTCAAAAACATCACAAAACTCAACACTGTGAATATAATTTCAACATTAAGACAATCTTCTTGGCACTTTTATTCCATTTTGAAATTTTCAAACTTAGCAATATTAGTCCACCATTTCCAGTTCTCTCCCCTTGGCACTAACGATGATTTGGCCAGCTCAGGCACTTTTTGGTATCCATTAATTTGAAAATAGAAATAAATTTTTTGGCAGACAAGTATTATCTCTATGGCAGGTTAGTATATAATGGCCATTTTTCTTGTTGTCATGGCAACAAGTCATTCAAAGTTTTCGCCCTGCTTCTAACGAAACTGTCATTATTTTCACAGAATTGAAGGCACTTTAGGAAATTTACTTCAAATCTTTGATGGACAAACATTCTAGATATTTCCGCAACTACTATACTATGACACTCTTTTCAGTTTCTTATCATGAATTTTTGAACACGTTTCTACCGTTTCAGCCAATAAAACTTCGAAAATGGAATCAGCCAATGCATTTTTTACATCAAGTTCATCTGCGTTGTAGTCGACCCAGTCGGGCTCTTCCTCGCGTAATTGTAACGTTAAAATATTATCAACGTTGTCTTTCTTTTTACGAATATTAAATTTATTTTTAACGCGATCGGCTTTTCGCATGCCGTTCACACCAAGTATGTCATTAACAGCTTTATGAACAGTTGGTCGTAATTCATCAACCGTTGTAGGTGGCGCATATCCTTTGAAATAATGTTGTCTGCGGCGTTTAGGTTTTTCATACGGCTGAAGCACAACTTCCTCTTCCTGACTGTAAATATCACAAATTATCTCCCCTGTTAAATCAAACAACATCTTTTTATACGTTTTCTCACTCTTTTGCTCCATGGAGAGATTTGATTGGTCAGTTTTGAAGAAAGAGTCGGGTGGCGTCACGTCTGTAAAAGGTTCCCCACATCTGCGACAATTCCAATATATATCTATAGAATCATTGATGATGGCCTCAACTTCAGATTTATCATGAGGTACAGCATATACTATTTCTTGCTCTTCTTCACGGAGGGCTGGAATAATACCTGGAATAGATAAAGAAAATTCTCAAATTGCTGGGCAGAAATGACTACAAAGTGCCAATATTTGGCAGAAAGGTAGAAAGGATCCTCGTGAACCTTAGTTCCGAAAATTGCTGTGTATTAATGTTTTGTTATTTTATATTTGCCTCAATTAATTTTGCCAGCCAACCTAAAGGATGTAAGGGATTAAAGATAGAGGAGAAAACCTACCAGCTTGTTGAGTTTTATTGTTGGCCACTCCGAGAGTTTCCTCAAAATAATCATCATCTTCATCATCTTCACCACCCAGAAGAGATAATAAATCTTTATCTAGCTGTTGTACTTCCTGAAATATAACATACAGACTATTTGATTGGCTGTCAGAACTTCCTGTCGTAACTAAGCGACATCATAGTGGAGAGTGACATCATAGTGAAAAGTGACATCATAGATAGGCACAGTTCTCATTCAATATCTCCACCAAGATCTCAATTAGAAATGAAATGAAATAGAATGAAACAGGCACCTGTTTGGGCCTTGACAACGGAATTAGCCTACTCTTAAATGATTTCCAACTGTTGAGGAACCTGTAACAGCCCAGTCTAAAGCTTGAAAAGTTATTGACTGTTTGATATAACACACCACTTACCTTAGTTCTTACAACAGCTAAATTAGGAGTACCAGGTCTCTGTAGGTCCTCTTCCAAATCTGATTGGTCACTTCTAGAATCAAGATGACCGTTGACCAATGGTGTTTCTCCATTCACTAACTGGTTATTATCACGTTTTTTATTTCGGATGTCAATCATCTGAGTGATGGCATTCTCTAGTAATTTATTCATAACGTCGTCTGCAGCTTTGTCTGATTTTGGTGATTCAGATCCGTCTTTTTGAGGACTGATGTCTGCTTCCGATGGCTTCTTCGGTTTGGGTAAAGTGGGGGGTGGGACTTTCTTTTGAGCTGCTTGCTTGTTGGAAATTCCTTCCATAGTCTCTACAGAGTCCACGATAATCTCCGCAGCAATTTCATTGGTCAATTTATCAGCCAATGCCTCGACATCATGTTGTTCGGGTTTCGAATCAAATTGTTGGACGTTTTGTGCAGCATCTTTAATGACCTTCTCAAGGTCACTGTCAGTCGCTGACCCTTCTTCTTGACTGGTCAAAGAGTCGTCTGCTGTTGGCTTGGTTTCAAATTTCATGCCTTCTGGTACAGTACTGATGTCACTTCCTGCAACCAGCACTCCATGACCTTGACGACATTCGAAATATTTTTGGCAGACGTCATCTTGGTCGTTGTCCGGGTGCTCCAATTCAACTCCTGCCCAGACACCTGGAGCAAAATCAACCTTACCCTTGTACAAGAGCTTGCCCTTTTTACGTCCCCACACCAAAACAGGTTCGTTGATTTGGAATTCTGCCAAGGGATCTGTTAGGAGCAAGGCACTGTTCTCATCATCACCAATTAAAGGCGTGGCTACACGGGGGGTCAACTCATCTTCCGAGATTTCTCCCAGCAAATCATCCAAATCCTTATTAGTCAAATCATCACGATGATTGGCAGGCTTCTTTTCTGAGAGCGAGGGCAAACTGGCGGAGATGTGTTCCGAAATGTCTTCTTCGCTGACTTGACTAGCCACCTTGGAAGCCTGAGAATGACCTCGAGCAGGTAATCTGACGGGAGTCTTTTCTGACTCAGATTCTGATTCCACAGTTCGTTCTGATTCTTCATCTTCGAAGTTGACGCCGTATGAACTTGCGACAGATCGCTCCGTACCACTGGATGGTCTGGACACTGTCGGAGAGTAGGACAAAGTGTGGTGAGATTTGGCGTGAGAGTCTGTTTCGCTGTCCGACTCCTGAATTCCAGTCAAAGCTTGCGAAATTGATTTCTCTGCTGCACTAGATTCCGACTTATCCCCTTCTTTCGGTTTCGTTACATCAAGTTTTAATGATTTCGAGGCATCTGATTGGACAGAAATTGCTTCGTCGATGACCTCAGAAATTTTTGAATCATCCCTGGGTGAAAGAATTCGTGAAGCACTTTTGTCGCTTCGAGCACTAAGCGATGGTTTCAAATTCGTATGTAGGGAACTTGCAGACGCTGTAAAATCCAAACTATACGAGGCGTCATCATCTGCTTTTGTAAAATCAACTTCATCTTCCATTGGTTTTGATTTTTCAATATCAATTTTAAGAACTCCTGATTCAGTTTTTGTGACTTCTGAGCCTTCAGAAAGTTCTTCGATGACTTCAGACACACTGGATTGAGATTGACCATCTTTGACCTCAGGTTTTTGAGCAAGCTTTGGTACCGATTTTTCTGACTCACTACCCTCTGAAATTCTGTCAAGGAAACTCTTCTTGTCAAGCAATGGTGATGTTTTACAGGTTTCTAAAATAAAATTAAGAATAAGTAATAAGAATGAGACGTGCATATAAACACTACCTTGGCCTCAAAAATACCAACCCAAATCACATTCATGATGCTAAATTTGAAGATTTGGAAAATGATTTTGCAGTTTTCTCCTAAATAATTTCTGACTTACCTCTACTATCAGACAAGTTGGGAGAATTCTGAGCCGAATCCGAGCCATTGACTGTATCTTCGTAACTTGACGAGAAACTTCCTTCTGTGTCACGTTGTCGGGTTGGAGTTACCTCCTCTTGTCTGACCTTCGATTTAGGATGTTTGATCAACGGCTTCACGACAGATTTATTGGGTTCAAGTTCAAGGTCACTCTGCTCGTGTTTTAATTGGTTGATATAGTTGTCATAAGCCTATAAAAAAATTCAAAATATTTCAGATTACGCGTCGAAGAAAATTCAAAATTAAGAATCCATTAAATGAAGGAAAAAATATAAAAAGTATTTTCTTTCATATAAAATCAAATTTGAGCATTTATAGCAAAATAGAGGTAGAAATGAAAAGATGGCTGCCATTAAATCAATAACCACCATACCTCAACTTGTTTCTTCAGAGATTCTTCTTGAGCCTTGAGTTTCTCCTTCTTTCTGGCTTTCCTTGCCTTCTTCAACAGATCACATTCCTTTCGTCGTCTGCGTAATTCATCATTCAGATGTCTGATACGACCTTCATAATCACTAGTATCTGATACCGTATCTAAAATAAATAGTTGCATTAAAGAGGTTTCAGATACTCAATCCTCATCAGGACAGTTAAGTTTTAGAAATTGGGGTTAACTTTTGGATAACACAATCCCCCAGCTCAGTTTTTTCTAAAAGAACCTTATTATATTTTAATGTGACGTATAAAATAAGCTAATACCTGTATGAGAAATAGAGTCTTCTGATTCGCTCTCGGAACCAGTACGTCGTGACCATGGTGATGGTAGAGGTGAACCAGACGGTAAATAACGACCGAGAGGTTTACGTTTACTACGACTAGCTGTTGTTTCTTCAAACGTGTCATTAGTATACTCTTCATTAACTGAACTGTTTACTATCGTATCATCACTAGAATCATTCACTCTAAAAATAAAATAAATCATGTTAAAAACTCAGCACAATTTTATTTTTTAGCAAATTGGGTATTGTTTCTAGGTTTTCCCCAAAAATAAGTACGATTCCTCCTGAGTGGCCTTTTAATGGTGACTTCTGAACAGGTTCTGTCCCTACCAATTCTGTCACTAGGCATCAATTGAATGTTCAGGAACTGGATATGTTACATTCAAAATTTACCTGTTTATACCTTTCTCCGCCATATTGAATTCTGTTACTCTGAACCCTGTTCTAACTTGTCTTTGAATTTCTCGTTGATTCCATGAATCCTGAACTCACCAATCGTTTAAACATAGTAGTATTTTAAGATGGTGTCTCAAAAGATTATATAAAAAAAAAAAAATTTGTATTAAACATACTTGTGTTTGTTGTCAGGAGTGGCAGAAGATAACGTCCGAGACGGAACTTCTTCAGGTATAGACATATCACTTCCACTATCTTTCGGTGACCTTGGTTGTGACTTGACCTCAGTTTCGTCTGTTTTCTGTCGAGTATCGTGAGGTGTCATGTGACTGGTAGAGTATGAATCGTCCTTCACTGTACTCAACTGTTCTGATATCATACTTTCACTTTCTGTTCGGGCTGGTGGCTTCGATTTAGCTGTAACAAACAAATATGGTTTAAAATTTCCTGATTGAAATTGTGTTTTAACATCTTATTATTCTGAACCTAATAGAGTTAATGGAGATAAGTAAATGCTGTACATTGGGCTATGGAGAATATTCGTCGAAACTGCAGCATGAGCCTACTCTTTTTAGGATTTCAAAATGTCAGAGATCATTGAGAAACTAGGCAATCAACCTCCATCAAACATCAAGGCGAAATATTCCTACCTTTAGGAGCTTTGGCTGGTTCAACTTTCTCTGCCTTCTTGTCTGCTTTCTTGTCAGCAACTTTCTCAGATTTCTTCCCCTTGGCACCGTCTTTCGATTCATTCTGCCAGGCATCCAACGCCTTCTTCTCCATCTCAAAGACCTCCGCCTCCTGATCGTCAAGGTGTTTCTTCCACGCCAGTAATTCCTCAGCATTTTTCTTACGACTTAGTAACTTGATTTCTCTTTTTGTTAAATATCTAAAAATTAAATAACTGGAGATCTAGTTTTCTTGGGGCTAGCAGGCAATGTCATGCAGTGTGCAATGAGGGAAATTTTGCCAGGACAACGACATTAGCCTAGTATGTACAGCAAGTAACACTAGAAGTATTTTTTAAATCAGCCCTCTAACCTATATCACTGACAGAGAAAAACATCAATTGAATTTAATTCATGAGGAAGTTAAAATAAACATGTCTTCTACTTACTTGTCATTTAACCAAAGTTGTTGTTTTTTCTCCAGTTTTCTCTTATCACTCTTTGATACTTTATTATTAGTTTTATCTCCGTAGATCTCAGAATCAGACTTGTATTCTACAAAATATCACGTAAATCATAAACTAACTAAAACATCTCTTCTACAACTAATTAGATCAGATTACAATTTCGCTTTGTTGTTGTTGATATTTTTAATATCCATGGTAATCTAACAAGTTTTTATCCCGTATATTCTATTGAAGTTATTTTAAACCAATGAAAGTGTATCATGTAGAACTCTCTGTTATAGTGAAACTCAAATAGACTGTCATATTGTAATACTATAGATTATGACTCTCCTAAATCAACAGGATCAAAATTTACAATCTGTTTTAGTCAGGGAACAAATATTTAAATTTAAACTTTTTGAAAATAGAAATAAACTCTTTACCTTTGGCTGAAATATCTTCATTTATATCAGAGGCATCATCGAGCTGTAAAACACAAAATTTAAATCTATACAACACTTAATCTTTACATCCTCTAGCTTGGCTTACTGCTATTACAATCGATATTTTCACACTCCTTGTTAGCTAATTACTACTTTCAATTTAGTTACTGTTATTAAATTATTTACTTCATTTTAAGAAATCAGTATTAAATAAACAATTTAAAAAGTTGCTATGTAATCACTTTGTGTTTAACTTAATAAAATATATCGTACATAATGAATACAGAGGATATATAAAAAATCTTTATCAAGTTGGCGAAGTCTGTTACAATACTGTAAAGCCATTTCAACCTCCAGGTAGGCTACTGTCATATCAATAACTATAGGTATAAGTTAAAACTAGATTTAAAACCATTGAGTATTTCATGTCAGTTGTAATAACTTGTGAGTACTATCAGTTAAATTAGAAAGATCACTGTCAAACTATTAAGTAAGTTAGTAATAACAGGTCATCCATGTCATGAGCTCATTAGATCAAAGTTAGGAACTTAATTAGCTCAAAATCGGATGCCTATTTAGTCAGAAATTAAACCAAAAGCACAGGGCAAGGCATAAAAATTGAATTTTGGGTTTAAAACAATGGTTAATTTCACCTCCATAATTTTTTTCTTTGAAATTGGGTCACTTTTAAGAAAAATTAATAAATAATTTAACTAAATCATATAACTTTATACAATATTTTCTGGAAGTTGATTTTTATTTTAAATTTTGGTAAATTAACTTACTATACTGGCATCGTCTTCTGTATGTATATCACTGGGTCGACCTAGTCTACCAGTTAATTTCTTTAAACCTTCTTGTAACTTCGTCATTCTCTACAATATCAAATAATATCATTTAATTATTCCAAAATAAATCATCAAACCTTCTGATGCCAGTGCCAGTGCTTCTGTGAGATGGTCTAGTGCCAACTTTTGATCCTTAATCTGAAACTCAAGCATATGACCTTCAACTTGTCTAAATCAGTCAAAATATAACAACGATCTAAAAAAAAACTGGTACCTTTTTCTGATGAGCTTTAGCAATAGCTTCCTGTTGTTTTAAAACATTCTGTCGTTCTCGGCTAGTCTGCAGATTAGCTTCCTGTAGGCGCCGAATTTCATCCTGAAAAATCAGAAAATTCATAGAGTATTATAAAATAGATTTTTTATTTTCAAAAATAATTAGTGAAATGAATATTGTAGGCTACTTTTAAAAGAAAAACACAAACTGAATAAAATCCACACCTGTTTCTCATGAAGTTCTCTTAGAACAATCTTCTCTTTCTTTTTAATCTGGGGATGGACGTCGTCTGCTCCTTTGTCACGTAGATGGCGCTTCTGTTGTCGTAACCATGACAACTCAGTTTCAGCTTTCTTCTTCAGTGCTGTCTCTCTGATTCTCAACATGGCAGCCTAGGAAAAACAAATTTAAAAAGTTACAGTGAATGTTAGATGAAAGCTGTACCCAACAGCCAAACCAGTGTTTCTATGACAACTGAACTCTGTGCAAGTACAAATAATGAGATTTGAATCAAAGAATTTCCTTGAATTTTACCTGATGCCTCACTACGTTTCTATGACAACTAAACTAACCTGATGCTGGGCACGAAGTTCCTCTTCTTTCATCATCTGTCTGACCATATCGGCCGTAAATTTACTGAAAGTGTCGCCCCCTACAAATAGAGAGGACATTGACACGTCTCCTAGAGATAGTTGACTCGTACCAGCTGAAAGATATGACATCGATTTACTATTACTAGAGCAATTCTAGTGCATTATGGGATTTGATTTCGTCCAATCAATGCCAAGGTAACAATATGTCCAATCTGTTTCTTCAGACAAAGCCTTGGATAGAATGGTGGACCAGTTTAGGACTTTGTATGATATTAATTCATCAGAAATGTAACACGAGGGAGAAACACCAATTCTTACCATCATCTTGCATAAAACTATCATCACTCTGTTTCCGTTTTAATTCTTTACGATGACTCTCAGACGGTAAAACTTGTCGAAAAGATTCATCTTCTGTTATAGAATCATCAAATGATAGGGTGTAGTCTTCTAAAAATAACAATATGAATGAAGTTTTATGTCCTACTTTTATGTACCTGATTGATCTAATGAAAATAGGCAACGCCATGCAGTGTGCTATGAGTGATATTTTGCCAGAATAGTGGCATTAGCCTAATGTTTTTTAACTTCTTACTCTCCAAGCCACTTCAGCTCCCATAACTACACATGAGAATGTTAATGGTTGTCAAATTCCAGCACAAATATTCAACCAACCATAACCCTTTAAGAAAGTATCTGTCCCTCCCTACCTGGTATATCTTCATGTATACTCTCTGTTTTAGAGAGATCTTGTCCGTCTGCATCACTGACTGATTTTATAGAGGATGAATCACTGTCTAAACGACTGTCTTTAGCTGTTATAACAGACGATGTCGTGGCAGATCTGAAATTAGAAATACAGTAGGTTTGTATGATAGCCTTGTATTATCAATATATCAATATATTAAGGCAAATAACTAAAAAAAAAACAACGAACATTATCAAAATACGTTGTAGCTGATCTGAAAATACATAGTGATATAAATAACAGAGGGTCTATTTCTATCACTGAAAAGATCTTTTTGATAGACATACTGTTACATTGTGGTCTGAATAAGTCAATTCTAACCAAGAGTTACTTCCCCCTAGTCAGGTACAGTTGTTTTTTTCTGCTGGCAAGTTACAAGATAAAGAGAGTGGAAGGACCACAAAAAATGCCTGACCGAACTTAAATCTGTGCCAACTCCCCCTCTACCACAGAAAGGACACCCCCCCCCCCCCTCTCAACCCACAACCCCCAAACAGTACATACCTAGAATGCTTGGGTCTTGAATAAGATCCAGAGGATGATATCTTCGAAAGATCACGTGTCTTTCTAGCATTGATAGAATCTGAGACGTCTGTATCAGTTCTCTCCCTTCCTGACCGTCTGCCTGCTGTTTCTGATACATTATGACTAGCGGGTATTTCTGAACGTATTTTGAAAGCTTCGTTAGTTTTAGAAGCAGGAGTAGAATGTGACGTTGGTTCGACTGTGAAACCAGAATGATATGGACTACGATGTGTGTTGCCTTGAGTTCGTAGTCGAATATCATTAAGTTGTTGATTACTGGTTTGAGCTTCTTGTTGAGCTTGAAGTTGTAATCGTTTCATTTCTAAATCTTGAGCCATTTGCCGCGACTGAAATAAATTAAAAATTGTATAAGAATTCTAAGAAATTAAAATAACTCAAACATATTAGGGAACATACAGAAAAACTAATCATAATAGTGGCAAAGAGACAAATTTCTGGATGATCCAAAAGTGTTCTTATGCGATCTTCATAATTCACAGAATTTCTGACTAGAAGTGATCTGTTTCAGCCCAACCCTATTAATGGCATGTCCCCTTAACCTTTCCCCACACCTCCCCCACCCTACCTCCTCCCCCCTAACACAGACCTACCTTCAAGACTTGTGCTAGAGATACAGATTCTTGTTGAGCTAGAGAAACAGCTCTAGTTCTCTCTACTCCAGCTAGTTGACAGTACGACTCTTCTAAACTTTCTAATCGATTCAGTTCCGCCATCATTTGTCTATCGAGAGTATTCGGTGAATAACGCCCCGTCTCGACACGGTTGATATTTTGATAATTGGTAGAGGTAGTTGGTGGTGCTCTCTGAAAAAGACCGAAATTTTGAAAATTATTTGGATGCTGAAAAGGTATTTTATCTGTCTTTTGCCCTGGCTGTGGCATCAAAAATCATCTCTCCTTGAAGTGGATTCGAACTCAAGGCACCAAATTGCCAAGCAGACGACAATCCAATTCACTACCAACGGAGATATTCCAAGAAAAGTCATTATACCTTGTCTTGTAAACTAGCACTTTTATCACTGGCGACAGACAGCTCCGAATCTTGCCTTAATGGCATCCATTCTTCAGATCTCTGATGTTTAGGTTGATTTCTATAATAATAATATAACAATATTATACTTGTAAATCAGGGAGACACACTATAGGTGAATTCAACTGGATATTCAATAATTCAGAACATGTTCCACGTGTGGTAAAAATATTGTAGGTGCAGACAGAATTCAAAATGGCCGAGAAGGAAAAGGATGGGAAAATTTGGAATGTGACATATAACGCTTCCGTAACGTTCAAATGAGGTTAGAATTAGAACAGATGGAATCTGTTCAGAACTCTTCAATCGAGTGTCACAAGAGGTTTAGTCAGAGACTAGTTTGTCCATGTTCTTATTAAAAGTTTATAAATCAACTTGACTTACTGTTTAGAAGTTTTCTCCCTGACTAATGAAACTTCAGAATCTTGTCGTAGTGGCATCCATTCATCAGATCTTACTTTCTCCCTAAAATAACAAAACCTTCTAATACTGTTTTGTGTTGAAAATAAGGCAAAATATGAGTCCAATGCCATGCATATACTGCATAATGCAGTGCGCAATCTGGTAAATACCCTCTAGCTCTTCCACCCCTTCTCCCCCTAATTAAGCATCTCAAAGTTTCTAACACCCCCTTACCCTCCCAAGGTACATCTCAAAGTTTCTAACACCCCCTTACCCTCCCAAGGTAAGAATGAAAGATAAATATCAAGATACGTACGGTAGAAGATTAGAATAAGAATCATCTGTATCTGTAAGATCGGAATCTTGTATTGACGTGTATTTTCCTGATGATTCTTGATACGACTTCACACTACTGAAACAAATAGATACAATATTTAACATGAGAAAAAACATCCTCTAGAGAACAATAGAAACAACTTATAGGGATTATAAAGAAGTTTTCTAAACGTTTCTATGTCTATTAGAGACACTGATAGCATTAATTTACACCATTCTAATTTTCAATCAGACGTCTGTAGTCCTTGTTAAAGGGATTATAAAGAAGTTTTCTAAACGTTTCTATGTGTATTAGAGACACTGATAGCATCAATTTACATCATTCTAATTTTCAATCAGACGTCTGTAGTTCTTGTTAAAGGGATTATAAAGAAGTTTTCTAAACGTTTCTATGTCTATTAGAGACACTGATAGCATCAATTTACATCATTCTAATTTTCAATCAGACGTCTGTAGTTCTTGTTAAAGGGATTATAAAGAAGTTTTCTAAACGTTTCTATGTCTATTAGAGACACTGATAGCATCAATTTACATCATTCTAATTTTCAATCAGACGTCTGTAGTTCTTGTTAAAGGGATTGTAAAGAAGTTTTCTAAACGTTTCTATGTCTATTAGAGACACTGATAGTATCAATTTACATCATTCTAATTTTCAATCAGACGTCTGTAGTTCTTGTTAAAGGGATTATAAAGAAGTTTTCTAAACGTTTCTATGTCTATTAGAGACACTGATAGTATCAATTAACATCATTCTAATTTTCAATCAGACGTCTGTAGTTCTTGTTAAAGGGATTATAAAGAAGTTTTCTAAACGTTTCTATGTGTATTAGAGACACTGATAGCATCAATTTACACCATTCTAATTTTCAATCAGACGTCTGTAGTTCTTGTTAAAGGGATTGTAAAGAAGTTTTCTAAACGTTTCTATGTCTATTAGAGACACTGATAGTATCAATTTACATCATTCTAATTTTCAATCAGACGTCAGTAGTTCTTGTTAAAGAGATTATAAAGAAGTTTTCTAAACGTTTCTATGTTTATTAGAGACAGTGATAGCATCAATTTACATCATTCTAATTTTCAATCAGACGTCTGTGGTTCCTGCAATTCTTTGATTTCCAAAACACAACAAAGTAAAATTTTTAAAACGCACACACGTGCTAGACCTTTCACCTTTGACCTTATAACCCTGAATAATCACTTACTTGTCTTTGATTGGTTCTTTAGCTCCGGACCTCCTAGTGTGAGAAACACTGGATCGTACGCTGTCATCATCACTTTGTCCTCTACTACGTGACGGTCGTAGGTTACTCTCGTTGTTAACGGCAACAGGTAACGAGGCTGTATAGTGATGTGCCGAGGACCGAGACGAGGTGCGACTGTCTGTGGGTAAAACAGTCTGGTTGACTGTGTCTCGAATTTGTTGTTCTAGTGGCGTCAAACTGTAGACATCTGAAAAATCAAAGTAACACCATGCATTGTTTCATCCAAACAACTAGAAACTATGTCCGTGTAAGTCACTATCACTTCATCTCGAGCTCAAACAAAAATAGAACAGCATAGCTTACCTTTGCCCAAGTTTGATTTTCGGTTGAGTACATTCATTACGCTGTAAGGATCAGCTTTAGGCTCCTCCCACTTGTATTTAGAGGGCGGGACATAACAAGCTCCGCCTACTGGAGGTTGACGTTTATCTTGAGACTTGGTTGTCTGTAAAATGAAATTTTTTCTCAAATATTTTACCTTATTTAAGTAAGCTTATGAAAAAAAAAAGATATGAATGGGTACTTTACTTCCTTCTTCAGCCAATCAACAGACAGCCAGGCAGTGTACAATGAGGAAAATTTTGTCAGAAACAGCTGTCCATACATCTCAGAGAAACACTGGATTTCAACGAAATCCAGCTTAAAATGATATATATAATTCAAAATGAACTCTCCACAAAATATTGACCATCTGCTCTTTAAAGTTGTAATATAAGAGTCACATCAAGTTGAAATCAGAATCCAGTGACAGACAAAATAATAACCTACCCTATGAGGTAGTAGATTGAGAGAGTCGTCATCTATTGGATCAGTCCTCGTGACTTCACTAAACGTAGAACTGGATGACACATCAGATTCATCACCATTTTCTGTGGACTGGAAATGAAACAGAATGCATCATTACAAAACAAAAGTCTGATACCTACAAAAGCTGGTGGCTCAGTGAGTTAGACGCTTGCTCGCTAACCTGAAGCCTATCTACAAGTTTAAAGACTACCCTTGACACCCCTCTACTTTCTATTGAACCCTTCTACACATGCATAATTTACCTTGATGTGTAACTGTATACGTATGATTGGAAGAGCTCAT